AATCAAAGAACATCCCAAGTTAGAATGGACCCACAGGGATCATTGAGTCCAACCTCTGGCTCCACACAACATCACCCAAAATCAAACCCTATGTCTGAGAGTGTTGTCCAGATGTTCTGTGAACTCCAGCACTGGTGGCTGTGCCCCCTGCCCTGGGCAGCCTGTTCCATGCCCACCACCCTCTGGTGCAGAACCATTCCCTAACCCCCAGCTGCCCTCCCCTGACACAGCTCCATGCTGTTCCCTGTCGCTGTCACAGAGAGCAGAGCTCAGCGCTGCCCCTCCGCTCCCCTCACAAAGAGCTGCAGCCGCCATGAGGGCTCCCTCAGCTCCTCTGCTCTGGGCTGACCCAACCCAGGGAATAAGTCACCGGTTGATACTTTGATGAACAATCAGCAGCATACCCAAGTCCAACAGGTCAGCTGGTTGCTACAATCAGTGCGAAAACACAACAAAAGAAGCAGTGCACCACAGAGTCCACCTTCTGCTATCAGACACAAGCAGGTTGTAAAATCCAACTTATAAACTTTACAACCTTCATATGCAAACTACTTGGATTTCCTCGTGCCGCTTCCCTTCCCCTCACAGACACACTGGGCAGCCACTCTGGCTTTGCAGCACTCCACCAGCACTCAGCCTTCAGCCCCTGGACTGATCTTTCCCCCAGGCAAATGTGCCCAGCCTACAAAGCCATGGTATTGTGGCCCCCTTCTGTGCACCCACACAACTATAAGGAACAGCTTCAGTGTCACTTCTAAATTCTTTTATAATCTTCATGTTTTAGCTAGAGATAAGGAAAGTAAAATGCATTTGGCCACGCATGCAGGCACAGCAACAACTTCAGTGTGACAGCATTCCCCCTGCCCAGTCTTGGCCTCCCCTTCCTCCCCCGTTCCTGAGAACCACCACACAATTCATTCAACCTGCACCAGGCAGCACTCCTGGGCCCTTCCAGGAGCTTTTTCTTCTCAGAAAGAATATAGGCTGCTGCACTTTCAAATAAATCAGGGTGTTTTAGATTCCCAAATGGGGGATGCACATAAACCCCAACAAGAAGACCAGATGACTACAGAGCGATCTGCGTCTTTCCTCCCCCATGCTTTGTGACATTCCCCAAAAGCCATGCCCACCAGCAGCCCCACTCATCCCATGTTACCTGTCCAATCCCCATGGTGCCATCACTGTGGGCAGCTGGGTGCTGCTCAGGGCAGCCACAAGGAAGCTGCCTGGTATGGAGAGCCTTAAGGCAGGGCTGGAGTCAGCAGAGAGCAAACAAGTGCTGTGAGCAGGTTAGAGCTCATTCTAAAGGAAGGGTTTACTTCCTCATTTGGCTCGCTGGTCTTTCATTTAACTGTACAGGTTGATAAACTTTCACTTCATTTTTCAAAAGGGAAAAAAAAAAAAAAAAAAAAAGGGTTCCCAATACATCTCTGAGTCATGGCAAAGATGAGTCAAACGCTTGTAGGCAGGGATCCACAGCAGCCAGCAGTCAGAGCTGGGTACAGGAATTCAGCGATGAATGGACAACTTCCTACCAGGAACACTTCACCAAGTTATTCTTTCCCCCTTGCATCCGCAAATCCCTGACTTTCAGGGACATTAAAAAAAAAAAAAAAAAATAGGTACTTAAAATTTAAAAAGCACAGAATGAAGGGCAGCACGCAACCTACCTACATGCAGCACAAATCTCTCTGGGACTTGGGTGGCACTTACTGAGCAGGTCAACCACATGGGAAACAGTTCCTAAGGTCACAACTACACCAACTTGCCAGCTTTCTGCTACCAAGAATACCCATAATACAGCAGAACATCCAGAGCCTGAGACCCTACATCCCAAGGAAGGAGCCAGGTAGAGCATCAAGGGCATCCTCACAAGAGCACCCCTACAAAGTGCTACTAGAGAGGAACAAGAAAGCTGCCAAGCTGCTTACAACCAAGGAATGCAATAGAGTAGAGCATGAGATATCACAGAGTATCATTTTAATTCCCACTTCTCAGCAAAACACTCTGCTAATATGGGAACAAGGCTGTGGAGAGCATCCATAGAACAGCAACAAATCCGGTGAGGAGACTGGAGCACAAATCTTATGAGGAGCAGCTGGGGGAGTTGGGATTGTTCAGACCTTGTTGCTCTCTGCAACTACCTGAAAGGAGGTTGTGGCAAGGTGGGGGTTGGCCTATTCTCCCAAGTAATAGTGATAGAATGAGAGGGAATGGCTTTAAGTTGCATCAGAGGAGGTTCAGGTTGGACTTCAGAAAAATATCTTCTCCAAAAGAGCAGTCAGGTGCTGGAACAGGCTGCCCAGGGAGGTGGTAGAGTCACCGTCCCTGGAGGTGTTCAAGAACCGTGTGAATGGGGCACTGAGGGTCACAACTAGTGGGCATGGTAGGGATGGGGTTAGTGGTTGGACTGGGTGATCTTAGTGGTCTTTTCTAAACTTAATGAGTCCATAATTCTAAAGCTGAGCTTAAAAAAAGCAATTAGAAGGAAGTCAGATAAAAGAATCTTACATTCATCCTATAGTCCTTTGTAACAAAATGACTAAAGTTAATGAACAAGATATGAGTATGAGACTTGAACATTATTCAAATTGCAGCCATCCAGGAGGACCCTTACCTTCCTTGCCAAAGCTGGGAAGAACACACCGAGGCAATTGCTGGTGTGAGGCAGCAGATCACACAAAGCAGATGATTGTACAGAACTTTAAAATGGTCTCAAACCCTTTTGTTCACCAGCACAGATAAGCATTTGCCAGCCCAGGGCCGTGGTTTCATAGACATTTCCTCTTTCTGCTGCTTCCTTGTGCTGACAAGCACACCGAGTAACTCCCAGTGCAATTTGTTGTTTCTCCATGGTGTTGTGGTAATTAAGGAAATGGATACAGTGGGCAAGGTCTTCTCGGGGAAGAATCCAAACTCATGGATGTTCCTATGCTGAGCTGAAGTTTGAGAGCTTGCTGCATCGTGAAACAACTGGATTGCCACTGGAAAGGATTATACCAACCTCCAAGCAGAACAGCATTCCTGCAGCAGCTCCTGGAGACCAGGTCTGCCATCTCAGTAGGATGCAGCCCCACCTTCCTGATGGCAATAGATAAGATGTCGTGCCGAGTACAGAAAAACATTCTCTTGAACCTGTAGTGGGGAACGCCACAGGTGCTCTGTCTACACACACCAATGAGTTATTTGCTTTGTTAAAGGAAACATTCATTTGTTGCATCAGAAACACAGAAAAGCATTATTACCACCTTCCTCATGTGGAAAAGTTCACCTGCTGGGAAAATCAAACAAACGTATGTGAGAATTCTCCAGTCCCTGACCAGAGCCAGGATAAAGCGTGCAGTTAAATACGATCCTATGGGCAGGAGTACCACAATCAGCCTGGGGCAGGGACTTCTCCCTGCTGCTTCACTCCATGCTACCACAACCATGGTTCTTGGTCAACCCTCACCAAGAAGAACTCATTGTTACACAGTACAAGGTGTGCTCTCAATTTTAAATCAGGGTTTTATGCACTACTAGGCAAAGTCTAGACATTTTTCTGCCAATGAAATTCTCTCACTGCTGGAGACCCTGGAAATTTTGACTTGTTGGAAACAGGTGTTTGCCCCCAAAATTTACACCACTCACTCAACAGATCCTGTTGCAGTTCTGCATGAAGCTGTTGACAGGCAACCCAGTGCTCAGGCTGGTAAACAACCACTGTCTTTAGGAGAGAGATTTTTATATGCTTTCCAAACCTTCCCCTCAACAGAATAGACAGCAGTGGCAAGGTCTGTACCTGACCACAGAGCAGAGACATTTATTCAAACAGTACAGCCGATGGACAGCTTCTTTTACTTCTTGGAAAATTACAATCCCATCTTAAGATCTGACACAGCAGGAACCCGACTTGTTTTTGCCATCTAAAATAACTATTTTTTGTCTCCCTTTTATATAAAAAAAATCCTGCTATTAGTCAAGTGTTTTCCACTGAGCTTATATAAAAAGTACCTTTTAAAACCAGAAACCCCCAAACAAGTTTCAAGTTCAAGCCTACCACTCTTTAGCTTAAGATTTCAATTTCAGAAAGCTCCTGGAACAGTCTTTCTGTTCTAGTGATTTAGCAAATGCTTGGTAGACCTAAACCCTCATACGGCTCACTGAAGGCTTTTAACATCCACACCACCTTGAACAAGGCCATTGACTCGATGACTGACAAAAAGCATATCTTCACAGCAGCCAGACACAAAGCGACACAGAAATACTAACCTGTAGCATAAACTTACATAACACATACGTAAACTTCACAATTTTTATATTTTGTATCGTGTTCCTATGTATGTAACAGGCAATTGACATTATGCACCTATCTAGTAAGCCTACAAGCCAAAACCATAATGCTCTCGTCAGTAATACCTGCGTTTTATATGCACATTCACACTACAGGAGAATGAGGTGAACAAAAGCAAGACCAACAAATTCATAAATACTTACGAGATTCTTGAAGATCCTGAATATAACTTTTTAATGATGCAATTAAATACGCTTGTTCAAACAACTAAGTTCTTTAGGTTTGCTTGGACAAGAGCAAAGCAGGCCAGGTTTACACCTGCAGAGGTTCTCAGGAGCCCCAAGCACGTGGCATGCTATTCCAACCACATACAGGGCTGTGCAGAACAACAACTGCAGCACTGCACTGCATCCCAGAGGAAGGTGACACACTGTCAATGTGACAAAATGGGATTCGGGTAAGAAAGCTGATGTGTTGTCAGCTCCCTCCCCTCCACAAATCTCAAGCCAAGCTTATGCTCACTGAGTTTCACGAACACATCAGTGAGCTTTGGAAAAAGAACAGGAAGTCACCAGCAAGAAGTCCGCCAGACAGCAGACAGAGCACACAGGCAGAGCAGAACAAATGCAGAGATGTCATGAAAGGCTTAGGGAAGACGCCAGGTACATTTTTAAAAAATCTATGGCATTTTGAAAAGCAGAGATTTTTGAATGTGCTTATCTTCTTCTTTTTTTTTTTTTTTTTTTTTTTTTTTTTTAAGCTTTGTTTCTGAAGACTCCTTGGTCACCAACGCAGAAGTAACCATTTATTTCCATACACTATTTGTATAAACTTCTAGATCTTAAGCTTTTGCCTGTTGGTAGAGAAGAAGCCATTCGTGCTGCTGAGAAGAGAGCACATTTTCCAGGAATTGGGTGTTTTCATACCTTAAGATGCTCCTACACCCCACAGGTGTGTGGGGGGTCTACTGAGGCATATGAAGGGCTGCCAAAACTCTTCATGCCACTGAGTCATATTTATCACCTTTTCTGTGAAGGGATTCTTGGGGTTCCAGCAAGAATCCAGCTTTTTCCTCAGAGTGGAACCTTTCTTTACTATGACTGTCAGTTCCGCAAAACAGCAAGAACCTAACTGTTCAGCGCCTCCACTTCCCTGTCAACCTAGGTCAATGTTTTCTATGTTAATAATGTGCCACCAAAAAAGAAGAACAGAGGACAACATGCCAGCACAAACGTCATTTCTTTAACAAAGCAGGAAGAACATATGAAAATCTACTGCCTCAGCAACACTACTCCAAATGCATCACGTCTTGGTCTTGTGGGGTTCTATGGAAACCTTCTTTTGAAGGCAGAAGTCTTGATGAGAACAGTGTGCAGCACTCAGCCCCAGACCCCGAGACGGTCCCAAGAGCAGGCTTCCATGCAAGCCCCCAATAACTTAGACACAGTTATGAAAAATGAATTTCTAGTTCCTTGCTCCAGAAGTTAGAAAGGAGAGAATTAGCAAAGGCAGCCTCTTAAGCCAAATACACTTAATCTTTACAAACCAAAGGGTACGCAGTTGTTTCTGTACACAATACCCTTCAGTATCCTTGTCAGTTTAGTCTGAATGCTGTAGGCATCTGGCCTAGCCAGCTTAGTCAGAATCTTCTGCCATGGAGTAAATTTCTTTTGTTCCTTCAGCAGCAGCCTTCCCATTGGAGTTTGTTGGTTCAAAATCTACTTTCTGCACACAGTGCATTCAAATGCACTCACCAAGCAGAGTAGAACTGCTCCTGGCCTCCAGGGCAGACCAGCATGTTGTGATTTTTCATGTCCACCAAGTATTTTAGGGTTTGGTTTTGTACTTCAAATCAAGTTCCAATGAGAGGTACCCACCTACAAAAACTTATTACACACCTACTACAGAATCAGACACTACAGCAAAACCACAACCACAAAAGTTAAATTTATTCACCAGACCAGACTCCTCCGAGTCACCACACATTTCATGGAGGAAGAAATGATGAATGCTGCAACCTTAGCTGCTCTTTCCCTCTTATCAGCACAAGATCTTTCTCTTACATTTCTTAAAATGTAAGCAAACTGAATAATACTGCTTAAATATCCAGATCTTGTATATCAGAGTAAACTGGACATTTAAAAGCCTGCTGACTTTCAGTAAGACCCAGACTCTGATAACATTACCTGCATTCCTTTGTAGTTGAAGATTTATTAACTGATCCACTTCTGCCACCAGATCTGAAAATTAATCCCATTTTGGCTTTGGCAAGTGCAGTGCAAGTTACAAATTCTGCCTTCCTGGAGATGATCACTTTCTTCTTTCTTATCCCCTCAGCATAACTTGCCTGACATCACAACAGGTGGATGCCCTGACATGACTGAGCTCAAGATCCTCAACACTGCAGCTGTGCCAAGTAACAAGTGAACCTTTACATTTTGAGAAGCATCTTCCAATAATGCCACACAGCCAAGGAAGGGATCTATGTAACAACTGAGCAAGTGCAAATGATTTAGTACAGCGCAGCACTTCCAATACCCTTGTAAGCAGCAGTGCAGCACTTCAATGCCTTTAAGCACTGCTGCACAGTTCTCAGCAAGTGAGAGCTGTCAGGACTAAGGCAACCTGTAACTCTTAATTTTAAAAGAAGGAAACAGAACTCTGAGCACTCGCGCAAATGGTATCAGATCACTTTTTAGACGAAGCGTGCACATAACAGTTTTGATTCCCAGGTCCTCTATCATACTCCTTTACCAAGCATCTGAGAGTGCTGAAAAACAAGTACATTCTCCTTGCAGAAAGGAAGCATGTCCTCCAATCCCTTCAGTAGGCAACTCACACGATAGCACGTGTTTACATTTCCAAAAAGCTTTAGACAACATTCCTTATTGGAGACTCAAATCATTCCACTAATGTTAAACATTTTATTAAAAAAAACTTTTTAGGAATCAAGCCTTACTCCAAGTCATACACTGGGAATTCAAAGAATTGTAAGGCCAAACAGCTGACAGAATGTAGCTGCTTTGAATTTGCACAGTCATATGACAGCATGTTGTACATGCAGGAAGAAAACACTATTTTAGTTCCTTCATATCTCCTGCTTCTTCATCATCTGTACTTAGACCTCTCTTTGTCTTTTGATTTCTTAGGACTTCTGCTTCTGTCTCTCTTTTTATCCCAGTCCCTTATTCGGACATCTTCTCTGTACTTGTCTTTATGTTTGCTGTAACTTCTCTCTTGAGATCGGCTGCGACTCCGATGCCTGTCTTTCTTCGCACTCTTCATCTTCTCTCTAGAGCGTTCTCCTTCATGTTTTCGATCAGAATCCTGTTAAAGGAATTGGATGGACATGCAGTTACAGACAAAAACGGAAAAGAATACAAAGGCACGAGAAGAGCTTGAAAGAGTCAAGAATGGTTGGTTCCATAACAGTCTAAGGCTGATTCTACCTGAAACAGATTCACACATACACATGCCTGCTTTGCTTGCAGCAATAGGTGGACGGTACAGAATCACTGACACAGCATATTAGAGTAAAGGAAGGAGAAATGGATTCATTACTCAGATTGTGAAATGCCACACTAATAGATTTACGACACACAACATGCTGGAACGACTACGTGGTAACACCAACACCCATACGGGCCCCAGCCTTACAGTAGTTTAAAACAACAAGATCCTTCTAGAAGTTACCATTTCACCTGGGAAGTCACAGAACTCAAAACATTTTTTTACTAAAAACACTGAGTTTTAACATGTGAATTCCTGACATTTTTAAGTCCTGCTAGAAACTATTTTGTTCTTACTATTCAATTAAGATATTCAGGAAGGCAGAAATACAAGAGGCAGTCTCCAAATCCTGCAGGAATATACATATAGAACTTGGCATTAAGAAGGCAGTGGCCACTTCTAAAGGTACGACTGCCTGACAGTTTTGTACCAACATGTACTCTGGTAAGTATAGATCATATTTAGTGGGGTTGTAATATATTTATGAGCTAGGAGAAATGCTTGCACCAAATATATTGTATTTCTTTCTTAATTCTAGTTTTCATTTTTCTAAATATGTGTAGTAACATTTACTATAGTGTATGGCTAAAACCTAAATCACATTTACAAACAAGCAAAATTTTTGTTATTTAAAAGAAAAGTGGAAACTCTCCTCCAAGCAACCTCCTATCCAGAAAGGCAGGGACCAGCATGATCCCCAGAGCAAACTCCCAAGAGCAAATGCTGCCTTCAGGATTATGCAGATAATGCTGAAATTCTACAGATGCAATAAGAAATACAAAACCCCAGGAGCCAACACACACGCACAGATACAGATTTGATCTTTACATACATAACCAAAAATTTCTGCTGCTGCTGCTGAATAGAGTAATCTCACTGGTAGTTAAATGCTTATTCTACATCTTTACTGTTGACCTCTATTTCAGTACATTTTTAGAATCTGAATAAACAAAAATAGTGTTGTTGCTTCCAGTTACTTAAAAGGTTTGCCCATTATGCACAGCTTCCCTTTAACTATTTTATCAAATATCTTACTAATGAACCCCAGATCCTTGGTTTCCATGTTTGAACAGGAAACTGGGTTCCATGTCTCTCTGTGTCAAGGACTGAATGAACATCAGAAGGCAAAACCCCAGCTGTGAAGCAGAGTAGAACTTGACAAAAATACCGACCAGTAAAGCAGGTGGGGAGCACAGTGCTCTGCTATCTTCAGGGTGCTTTGTTGCTGAGAGAGAACACAAGGGGAATCGGGAAAAAAACAGAACAACTCCCAGTACAAAATCTAAAAAGCCAACATCGGAGAGAGGCTGCTGGCCCAACTAGAAGCAGAACTCCTCATTTACAAGGGGAAAGGCTAGTAAAGACTTGAATGTAATGACAAATAGCCTGCCTTGAATGTCGTAGAAAAGGGCAACTTGCTGAAAGGATTAAAAAAGTCACATGAGCATGGAGCCAGATAAGCACAACAATCTTTCAAAAAGCATTTGAGGCAAAGGTGTACAGGGCATGTCTGAAGCTGCAAGTGCCACAAAAAGGTTGGCATGTAGATAATACCACCACAGACTAATGAAACAATATAGCAATTTGAATTAACAGGATGAATTGCATCTTAGTTCCCCCAAAAAATTAGTTATATTTGTCCTTAACTAACATTTTACCTTTTTCAATTCTCTGGCATAGAAAAAGTTTTCAAAACATTACATTAATAGAAGTAATAACAGTATTTGAAATTGAATCCTTTATGTACTACCCAAGTCAGAAAAATGCTGTTTTCCTGTTGAAAGCAGAAAACTACTTCTTAGAAACAGATTTTTTTCTTACTGTTGAAGTCCAGATTCCCCAATGTAGGATCACTGCCTCTGATCAGCCAACAAATAAGCCATGATCCAGTACTGTGTTGGTGAACACATGATGAAGGAGTTATTAAAAGAGGAGAAGAAAACTTCCCTGGAAGTCATGGCTGACTTTGCCAGAAATAGTAATGTGCCAAACAACTCCTGAATGTAAACCAGTCTGAAATACCATGACTACAAACACAGAATAAAGATACGCCACCTCTGTGTACGTAAAGCACACTAATTAAAGGTTAGGAGGATCAAACAAATAGAGATGGCCTTTCAGCAAGGAGGTTTTGATCAAACCTATTCAAACACTGTCCAATAAGTGGTAAGAGCAGGAGATTAAAAACAGAAAGATCAATATATTTTTGCTAAAATGACAAGCTGCAGAAATCTGAAATTCAGAGACCCTGTGTCAAACAAAAATCCATCAGATGTGCTGTACTCCTCCACAGACCCAGAAAGCTGCTAAGGGTACAAAGTCATAATGTGGATCTCAAGCAGAAGCAATCAAAATACTCTGTCAAATCCTATTCTCAAACCCACACACTGATGCAGTCTCTCGCTCCAGACCCACATCCTGTTGCCTACTAAAAGCAGCCACAAGACCCTACCTCTTCAGCCCTCTGGAATCAAATCAAACAGCACAAGGTTCAAAAATATCTTCTTAACATTCAGCTCCGAGGCTGAAGATTCAGGAAACTGGTGTCAAACTAAGAAAAGGGATGAGTCAAAATACACTAAAGAAAAAAAAAAAAAGTAAGAGAACAGAAAAACAACTCTACATCACGGAAACTATTCAGAAAATAAAAGTCCCTTTTCTGCAGTCATAGCTGGAGCTGGTAGCATCAACTTCAATTTCAGTTACCAGAACTTTCTATTACTGGACTCTGCTCTTTGTCATTTAAAATCTCTGCAATACCACAGGTTCAGGACAAAAGTCTGTAGATGATGCATAATCATTACAATCTTTGACAACTGATTGTGCTAAGTTAGCTGCTGTTTTGTTATAAAGTTTTTACCTCAAATGCTTCTCCTACTTCTAAAATAGCCTTAAGGGAAAACCATTTCCTTATACTAAACATGCTACCACTGATCCAAAAAGTTCCATACTGTTTTGCTTTATGCAGGTCTCAGACACTGCCTCAAGAACACATCTCCCTCCTTGGTTCTTGTACAAGTTCCCCAGATTAAGACTCAATTATAAACTAATATATACATAAATACACACACACACACAATATATATATAGTATATTCTAAGTATGATTTGTCAGCTAAGCTGCCAGCAAAGTTTACCTGGAAAGGGTCACATTAAAATCACTCACAGATATTCTATGTGGAACTAAATACACAAAACTCATTTGTACAAGAGCAGGCATGTCCAACCCACAGCCATCATGGCAGCAGCTCTTCCCTCAGCACCAACTGAACATCACTGTGCTATTAACCCTGCCTGGGCAGAATTCCACAGGGCACTGCCTCAAGTGATGGCAAATAAGTTTTTGCATTGTGATGCACTGGCTAAACATGACCCTGTGAACAGTGAAAAATATGCAGCTGTACTTTTCATTTTGATAAAGGAATTTGAGTACAGGTTTCAAGATTGCCGAAAAAGTCATCAATTTCTTTATTTGCAACTCCATTTGAAGTCAACATGCCAATTCTCAAATGGAATGTATTGAGTTGCAGCTAAAAATTTGATCGTGTCTCTTACCAGCGAGAACTAGCCCTGACTTCACAGTCACACCTTATTTGTGCAATTTTTGGCTGTATGTACATTTGTGAACAACTGTTTTGAGGGATGAAGTACAGGAAGAGTAAAATTGCATCAAAAATATCTGATGAATACTTTGAGAGCTCAGTAAGAACTGCAACCACTGCCATCAAACCTGGATGATGCATTAGTTTCATAAAAACAGGGTCACATATCCTAGTTTTATGGTTTTGCTGCTCTCTTTTGTACATGTTTTAATAAAAAAAAAAATTAAAATAATGTATATAAAGTAACAAAACTTAACTATATTATTTTACAACAGCTGCCCCCAAAGTAATCCCTCCTATTTTATGGTGTTGGTACAGAAATCAGAGGTGAATGTCAGTGATATGGCAGTAGAGGTTGAGTCTTCCCACCAATATTCCAATACATATAAAGCAAAGGTGTGTTACTGAATGCCTCCATGCAGAAAAACTGACGCTCAGTGACACTCACCAACAACATTACTGAATGTTTGTAGAGACAAAAAGTGAATGTGAGCAGAATGAAGAGACATCTGAATGATTTTTAAATGTTTTCTGCTGGTAACACATGACCAGCCAGTTCTGTATGTGTATTTTCTGAACCTTCAAGTGCATCTTTTACATGCAAAAATATTTGTTGCAAGAATGTTGAAAACACATTGTCAATCAGCCAAAAAGACTGGCGGAAGTCCAAAACAACATGAAGGCAGACCCCTTGCAAACATTCTATACTCCAGATTTATCTGACCAGATCCTTCCCTCATCCAAAGGATCCCAGTCCAGTTAGTACACAAGCAGTAATTGGAAAACCAATATCACCAGTGAGCAATAGACCAAAAGAGTGGCAATGAAAAGTGATAAAACATTGCCAGTGTTTGTGAGAAAAGTTATTTTTAGAATCACAGCAAGAACTGATGTAACAACAGAATCACATATGCCTTCTGTACACAGCACTTAAAAGTGGTACTCAAAATACATGCCAGGATGATTCCATTTGCTGTAGCTAGAACCTTATCACTTTCTGCAAAGCTGCTTGAAGACAGCTTTATTCTCACGCAAAACCTGCATTGTTAAAATACTGGATGCTTATATTTTCTGCTTAGCTTACCACTACATAATGCTCAAATTTCAAGAGTAGTTGACCCTCCACTTAATCATTCAGTTCCCATGAAACATCAGCATCTTAACTACGTCAGATTCAGAAAAATGTGAAAATGCTGACCGCAGAGGCTGCAGTGAAATGACTGAATGGCAGAACCACTGCCTTCTCACAGCCTTCCCCACAGCCTGCCTTACAGCACTGTATGCTAGCACAGTCTGGATCCAAGCCAAGAGACATATAGATTTTACACAAACACTTCCAAAACAACTTAAAATAAATAAATAAACAAACAGACAATGCAAAGAGACTGTGTTTCTGATTCCACATGGGAGAAAGCCAACGCACAATGTTTTGGCAAGAATATCGGAAATAGTTCGCATTCATGAAATTTCATGAACTTCTGGTTTATGACTGGGAATAGCAGGTTCAAAATGCTGAAGATCTTCTACCCTATGAGAGGCTACACTGCCTCTTGGTCTGAGTGGCTTTTTGCCAAAGCACCCATGCCTCGCTTCCAAAGTCCAGAAAGACCCAGGAAACCTCTTTTATAATCAGACACTGACACTAGTCTTCTGTACATTCACAGCTGCTGTACTTTGTGGGACTTTGCACACAGGGTCCTCAGTTGAAAATCAGACTATTTCTTCCTGGATTCTCTTAATAGAGCAACAAACTGATATAAAGTTAAATCATTAATTCAACAAGAGCTAAGTACCTTGTATTTTTTGGTCCTCTTGTCATCTTCTTCGTCTTCAGAGTGGTAGTGCTTTTTCTTCTTCTGTTTTTTAGCCAAGTGTGACTGACTTGTTTGAGATTCTTCTTCTTCCTCATCTAGCACAAGGTCATACTTGGCACTGATAGTATGGGTTAAGAACAGATTTGTTACTTAACAAATATAAGAACAGAGACGTTCATAAAGGAAAGAAACCCCAATTTACCAGACGAGATTTACCAAGACATAAAATTCAACTGTTCCAAAACAACTGAATCTTATCCTGATAAATTGTACAGCCAGATCTCAGTTTTTTATTTTTGTCCTATCTGTGGATCTCTGAACAAGTTACAGTTTTCTGCTTTCTGCTGCCACCACAAGGAAAACAGGATTGCAAAACATCATTTCGTTACCGCCCTTCTTTCATTGTGGATACAGCAGATACCATGCAAAACCAAAAGTCTCTGTTATGCCTTTTGTTATTCTATGGCTCTACTTGAATAAAACACAAAAGTGAAACAACGTATTCTGATTTCATCAAATTCACACAAGTCATCATATGAAACAGGCAAAATGCTTAATTCTATCTCAAATGCAAGATGGTTATATGAAGTGGTAGCAAAAACATCTACCTGGCAAGCTTTAGTAATATGAAATCTTTCCCAGTCTGCTTTCATACACTCTACTTGGCACAAAAAATTCCTCTGACTGAAAAAGGATACTCCTGCTTTGGTTTCACCTTCTCTTTTAGAGCAAATTTTGAATGTTTATCACGTTCCTTTTCATACTCTTTGAAATCATCCTTGGTGTACTGCCCACCTGTTGGCAGAAAAAAAATCAGTTGGCAGAACTAAAAAGAAAAAAATCAACAAGAGTCATACCTACCACTGCATTCCATTTATGAGTTTGAAGGCTCTTCCTAGCCCTGCAGAGATTCATAGTTCCAGAAGGAATACTGACATCTGGATGTCAGAGTAGAAGTGTGTAGTACAAGTCATGACTCTGTGCTTCTCTTGCTTGCAGATCTCATTAAAAAGCATATGGCTTTCTCCTCACACTTGTGTACAGTGGAGATGAAATATGAACATTATCACAAAGCAGGATTTCAAAACTGCTTCAGTCTCTCTTTCTCTACAGGACCTATGTCACATTACTTAGAATTCTGTTTCCTGAAGACTGCCCTCATTATTAAATGACTTTCTACTCCCATGTGCACAAGGGAAACCTGAGACAGCTGCAGGTCTCCATCTGAATTCACAAGCTATCCAAAAAGTGTTAAGACTTGATTTAAGAGGGACATCACAGACTGCATTTTCTGTACATTCACATGGCAACAGCTGCTCACAGACCAAGATACTATTTCATAGCAACGTGCTGCCACCTCCCGGTCATACCAGAAACCGCGCAATTGCCTGGCTAGGTCAGAAACAGCAACCGAAGGGGAATGACAGTACTTTGCCTAGGTCATTCTACGGGTACCAGATAAGCCCAACAAAATGACAGTATAGTTTAGCTTTCCAGTATTTAGGAAAATTTAGATCTACGTTGCCCCAGACAAAGAAAAAAATTCAGTTAATAAAGGCCACATAAGCTATACAATAAGGTTGGCCTGCAGAAGTGATAATCCTAGCCTAACTATTCACTTTTTGTCCTGTACCTTCAATTGCTATACACTGAATAATGAAAGGTACCCAGAAAGTAACAATGTACTGCTATACTATGTTGTTAGTAAATATCTCCAAAGGCATCACTTCTAAAGTTTGAGATGGGGAGCTCATGATTTACCAGCAAAAATCTATCTATGGTAAAATATTTTTTTCTTTCTGACCTACCAAGTTAAAGTAGCAGTAGGAAACTCTTCCTGGAAGAAGTGAATAGAAGAGCTAGACACTTTGTTGCTCTGTGTTCCTTTGCTGCCAGGAAATTCACATCCCCCAAAATAAGAAGATTGAAGCTCTTAACTGCTTCTCTTTACATAATTATTTATAGTTCAGAAGTCACAGCTTATTAAATTAGGAGTCAAAGAATCACAAGTGTACCTACCTTTTCCTTTCCACTTAATCTTTGCAACAGACTGGCTAAAATCCACATGTATCCGTCTGTCATCTATCAGCACGTTGTCCATTTTGAAATAGGCTTTCTCACAGTCTTCCTCCTGATATTAACAATTCCAGAAAATGTACACTCGTGACTATTTCATAACAGTATTCACTGAAGAGCTCAAACACAACTCAACTGCTTACTGGTACATATTTTCCAAACAACTTCTATAATTGCCCAAACCACAGCAGTTTTTGCATTGTACCATTTAAAAAAAAATAATTATGCTTTGTCCCAGTGTAAACATTCAAAGTTCCATCTTTTTTCATTTTATTTCACCATTTTAAAAAGTATATGTAACATTTAGAGAAAAGAAGGGAAAAAGGAACAACAACACAGGTAACAGAAGTTCTATTTTAAGTACACAAGTAGGCTAAAGAAGAGTCTTCTGACTTTTCCAGCATTGTCTAGTTTTCCTCACAGATTAGAGACTATCAGAAAGTTTCTGTAAAGAAGTTATACACCATAAAGAAAACTTCTATCAATAATACTGTAAGAGCAGCTTAAACTGACACGATTTACAAATCGAACAGAGTACAGTACTGCAAACACCCATCTACCATCTTCAATTCTTTCTCCACTTTTTATGCAGCACTCCTCCATTTTCTCCCAGCATTCTCTTCTTTTACTCTTCAAAACTGTTACAAAGCATGCTCTGGGAAATACAAAGACCTACTCCAAATCCACTGACTTCCAGGAAGGCTAAGTACATATTGGTATTGTTAGGCTGAATCAAGACTTCGGCCTGCTTTAGGACCTACAATTTCTGTAACTAAGTCAGTAAGAGAAAATGTTAGGTACCCCACACTTGAGGATTTTACTGTTCTTCTGTAATGGAAGTATACTGAAAATGAACTTGCGTAAGCAAAATCTACATACAGCACAATTAAAAACCGTACCTTTTCAAACTCAATGAAAGCATAACAAAGAGATTCACCAGTCTTCCAGTCTCGAATCACTTCACAGCTGAAAAAATATCATGAAATTAAAACGTCAGTGCTTCTGGAGCACAAAGCATAGGACAGGCAAGCATTGATTAAAAGGAAGAATAACAGTTAAAATATAAAAGGAAAAAAAAAAAAAAACAGGCCTAAAAAGTATTACAAAAGTTGATTCTGAGATCCCTGGTATAAGGCATTAGTGTTTCTGCACAGAGAAAGCACATCTGACATTAATCAATTGAGTAATTGATTTATTATACTTAACTCACAAGTCCTTAACTTGAAATGTGAAATAAGAATGAATTGTAGGCCTAGGGATGAAATTCTGATGAAATATAATTATTTTTCAACATTACTGCTGGTGATCAAGTCTTTTGCATTTCACTAATGGAAGAAAATAAATCTCACATTCTGGTTTTACAAAGGAAAAGGAAAGTTTGAATAGATACTGTGACAAATTTCTCCTCTTAGAGGGTAGCCCATTAGCAGCCATCTTATCAGGAAGCTCACTGAGCGAAAATATGAAGCCTAAACTATTGGATTAGGAAATGCAAAATGGGAATAATTATAGTGTTGCATAAGTAATGCCAAACTCTCACCTATAATGTGAGAATTCTGGTCACAAAGTTTGAAACAGTCAACAAGTACAATAAATGGGATATCAGTGTGAGACTTGAATGTCCTTCATTTGCACTGAGCAACTAACATAGTAGGATTTAACACACAATCCACAAGATGGTCAAGATGAAAAAAAGAAAAAGGAGAAAAAACTACTCAGACAAGCTATATGAATTCTTTGCAGCAGCCATTAATTGAGAAGAAAGTATCCCTCCAGGGATACCTGTACCCTTTTCTTCCCTGAAGTGCCTGTATACTAATTCATGCAGCATGAGAATTAAACAGGAGGCACTAGAGAACTGAATGAGGTCACAGAGCATGATCTTATTGTGATCATGAAGACATGGAAGGACAGTTTGCACAACAGGAATGCTGTCATGGATGGCTATTCCCTTTTTAGGAAAGTCGTGCCAGTGAGGCAATGCAGCAGAGTTGCTCCTTATGTGAGAGAGCAATTGGAATGTATCAAGCTCCACCTGAGGGTGAATGATGACCCAGAGGAGAGCTTGTTGGTGAGAAACAGGAGGCAGTCTGTGATCCTGTGAAAGCAGGACACGCGCAACATCCCTTCTCTTTGCAGATTATTCAGAGGATCTATTTGAAAGTGGAAGGACTGCAGAACAGTTTATTAAACAAACTGATAGAGAAAAAAAAGAACTGTAAAAAGTCTCTAGGACATCCAGAAATTATGCTCCAGTTATAAGGATAGCAATGCAATGCCAATTTCTCACATACATCCTACAGAGTCGAGTGAAGGATCTGGTGGTCTGCAGGTCTGTATGCCTGCTGTCAGTCCTGCACAAACCAGCAGAAAAGGAACACAAGACTGACTTAGTGAGCATCTGAATAAACGGGACCTACTCAATACATCTAAAGTTCTTTAAAAGGGGTAGTGCTAGTGATACACTTCTGAAATCCCTCTGGAAATTCTAATAAATTCCTGCAACAAAGGGTTTGGGGGAAACTAAGCAATAACAGCACGAGATGACTGTACTAATAAGCAAGTGCAAGACACAGTAAATAATCATTCTCTCTTAAAGAAAGTAAGGAGGTCACTCATGGAGTTTGCTGATAATATTAAATAGTTCAAGACAGAAAAAAATTGCAAAGTTCCTAGGAGTCTAACTGAACAACTAAGTAGAAAGTGACCATCAGTGCAGATAAATACAGTCAGATGAGCATGGGGGGAAAAATCTTAATTGTGCCTTGTGAAAAACGATAAAACCTGAGCTGACAATTACCATTAAAGAGAAAGACTAAAATTTGTATGATTTTTTTGGTGAAATCAATACTGCAAAAACAGCCCAGGTTTTAAAGCGTTCACAGCTCCAGGAGTAATTAGAAAAGGTACTGAAAACAAAGTGGAGAATATCACTGTGCCACTATAACTCTGTACTCTTTAATGCTGTAAGCAGTTCTAGTCCTCTCATCTTGAGGTGAAAACAGAAGAATAGAAAAAAGTTGAGAAAAGGGAAACAAGGTAAGGAAAATTCCTCTACAAAGTATGTAAGCTTGTACACCTAGCCAGAAAAAAAAAAAAAAGATGATTTGGGATTATATCCATTAGAGAGTTGTAGGAAAGCAGGCTTCACTGCCCATCTTTTTGTTTGTTTTTTTGTTTCCCCACACCAACTTAAGAGGAAATCAACTGCAACTATTAGAAGCCAGGCTCAAAACTGAATTAGACAACAGGTACAGGGAACCATTAAGACAGAACATACTGGGTGCTACAAACGTGTACTGCTTTATCTAAAACTGTACAAATTCTCACAAGAAAAAAAACAAACCAACCCCACCCAGTGCTATATCTAGCTTATGTAGTGGCTGAACTGTACACTACTGAAAGGAGGGAAAGGGTGGGGGACTGGGGAAAGTCCCATATTTGTCTCACTTGCTCCTGTACTTCCCCTAGGTGTTCACTTAAAGCTACTGTGGGGACAGGATATTCAGCTGGTGAGACGTTCCTTTATATCACCACTGCTGCGGTCTGACAGCGGGCAGATTACTAGACACACCAGAATAACTACTTAACAGCTAAACCTAAATAACACTGATGGGCATCATGCTCAGTTTTAAGAAAGCATTCTGTTTCATATTACAATAATTACCTTTTAATTGGACCAAATCGTGAAAATATTATCTCTAGGTCTTCATCTGTGGTCACAGGATTCAGTTTACAAACAAACAGCACATTTTCTGGTGGCTTGACTTCTGCATCTGGTAAGTCTCCCACCTGTGGGGTTCAGAAATAGACTTTCATCAAAATTCCATAAATTTTAGTTCATCCTAGCTTAATAAGGATGAGAAATTAAAATCACACAACTTTGTTCAGGAAGACAGAAGAGAGCCAGCACTCGTGCCTGCTTAGAAGCAACACTTGCTTACAGTGCACACAACTTTGATGTATGCAACCTCTGGTCAAAATCCCCATGTCAAAACCAGCAATCTAAGTTCCAGAGGATAATACAAACAATCACAACATCTCCCTATAAATTACAGCATCTCTTTAAAAATTTGAATGAAAGACTGATAATAAACAACTTATCTCTATTTCACTTAATATGCTAATAAAAAGGTAAATGTACATTTGTTAGATAAGCAAAATAATACAAGAACATATTTCAGAAAATAACTTTAGCACATGACAGTACCAGAGAAGTTCACTGTTTTGACAAAGGAACAATGAAACAAACAGCTGTGAGTTTTTAGATTTGTCTTTTAAATCAGCAAAACTAACGGTACACTATATTTTTTTTTAAATCTCTTCATCTTATGTAACATTGCTTCCTACTGCAGACTACCCAGCAGTACTCATTATCGCATTGGCTCACATTCCATTCCCCCTTGCCTTTTTTTTTTTTTTTTTAAAGACAGCTTTATCCAGAAAACATATCAGTGGCCCAATGCTGCAAAACAAGAACACGCGGCTGTAGATTTTCTGCAACACTGTGGCTAATGTTAAATTTCAGATAATCCCACAGAAGGAAGACAGCCATTACACATAGGATTAATGTAAACTACTGTGAAGAGTCTATTTCAAGTTTGCTCAGCTCTCTCCCATGCAGGCTAAACCTTTTTTTTTTGGGATTAAAGACATTCAGCAGCACATTACGTATGTTAAGTTTTAAAACTGGATGCACTCCTAACAAGTTTTTATAAAGCCTCCTCCTGGCCCTGAAAATGATATAGCACTGGTTTTTGTCAGAAAACCACTTCCTACAAGTCACAAACATCAAGTGCTCATGCTTGCTTCTTTTCATTGTACCACAGACGTGTAATAGCACGGATTCTGAGCCATGACATCATATCAGCAATTTCAAGATGAATAGTACACAACTTTCTACACATAATACAACAAGCACATGCATGTACAGAAACAGAAATAACACCAGAAAGGTAAAGAGAAAACGATGCTCACCATTTCCAGAAGAATGGCACGAGTTTTTGCCTCTTTTTCTGCCTGAACTTCTTCTATTTCATCTGCAGACCGTCCTTTCATATCATCAATTTCTTCATCTGCTCCTATTCTTCCACTCTGGAAAAATTAAAGAAAAAAGGAATTAAACTCCTGGTCAAAAATTCTCAGTTTCCAAATATTACTTGGATATCACTTCCTTCCCCCAAAACAAGAGAAATGCTCCAGCAATGCATCTCTGCAGAGCTGGTCTTTCCTTTTGTTTTCTCCACTCAGGTTAAAAAAGAAAAGATGCTATCCTCATGAGCTTCAGGCACCATAAACTACATATGAACTTTCAGGCTCAATTTGAACTGAACACAGTTTGGTCTTCTGAATTCTTTTACGACCTTATCTCATACTCAACAACTCACCACAAGTATCAGCTCATGTCTAATCTAGATAGTTCCTGCCAGAAATGAAAACAACGAACACCACAAATTTCTGTTGTGTCCTGTAAGACCATATTATTAAATATAATGTACTGCAACAACAACAACATATTTCTGCACATCTACCACCAGGAAGATTTGAAGCTTAAGGTTTTTCCCTCATCGGTATCTCTAGAACACTGCTGCTCCTACAAATACTTCACATACATCAAAAGCTGTATCTTCTGTCATGCTACAGGCAGGGGGAAACTAAGAGCAAGCTTTGAAATTTCTGCCAAGTTTGGCAGTGAGATGTAAAATTCCTTGTTTAGCAGATCTGATGGTATGTGAGAGATTAAGCAGAGTACAGATGTACCTCAAAAGCCTAATTTCAATCTTGCAATTATATATCTATTAAGCTTAAAGACAAACAGTATTCCCTCTAGTTAATGTATTCATTGCTTGAAAGAACTGTATCCATATAGAGAAATAGTATCACTTAGCAACTTTCATAACTGCATGCTGTGACTAAATTATTCACTACAACTACATTTCTAGCACGTTCCTTCTGTCTAAAGAAATACACAACAGTATGTATGCTTGGAGACATGAAAGAATGACCAAGAATGCTCACAATGAAATACAAACAGAACACTTCTCATATAAAAGAGAACCAACAACAAGCAATTTCATATTAAAAAATGTAGTAATATTTGTGTTCCACCAGAAGAGTGTACAAAAAAAAAGTAACATCAGAGGTGAATATTCTGAATGTTGTGCTTCGATAGTTTTTAATTAGAAATCTGAAATACAGCTTTCCAAACTTACTCCACTACAGGACAGCAAATCACTCAAATAACTTCTTTTTATCATTTTCTGACAGATTAAACAGACATTTGATTAAACACAGCAATATCCCCAAAAAGAAGACAAGCATTTCATGTATCAGAACTCAAGCTGGCACAGTAGAAAAGCACCTCTTCTGCTCCTGTGCTAAAGAATTTACAAAGTATTAAAGATATAGATTTTGATAAAGCCTGTGCTGGTGACTAACAGGGATCTACTCGTTTAATGCTTTCTCCCAATTTTTCCCCAAGAAGCCATGACAAAGACTCACATCGAGCTGTTCCTTAGTAGGCTCTGGTGAGCGATCAGGAATAGGCAAGCCAGGTGGATCATCAAATGGATCATCCAGAATTACTGTATGATTTATCCTAATAGAAAGCAACATCAAGATCAGCACCACAAGCAAATAAAATTATCCTTACTCAAATAAAAGGAAACCAGCCCTGGTGATTCCCAGCTATATCCCAAAAAGTCAAACATAGTATATGTTTGTAAATACTAAAACTGATGCTTCTATAAAGGCAACAGATGCACATTTTCTTATATGTCTTCTTATTTTAGTACCTGTTTGTTTTCTTAGAGAGCTATTTCCGGCCTATAGTCTAGTAAAGTCTAATATCAAGCAATATTTTACTTGTTTGCTTCCTAATTTCTCAAACTACACAAAGATTTCACAGAAGAACCCAAAGGAAAAAAACTGCTTAGAGCAACCAGTGATTATTCTGGTGTCCATCACCAGTGTAGTGTCTTACAGTTTAGCTTGGACACTTCCATCCCTGCTCTGCAAGTTCACAGAGGTCTTTAACAACTCTCTATAAAATTCAGAGTCCATATGAAAACACATGTCTATACTGATGTATAGATTTATGGCTCACAACTCATGTTAACTCATGATACACTTCCATAATAAATACTAAGCTCCTTTTAGAAGGAATTTCTATTAAGACATGATTACAAAGCATTTTACCAATAAAACAACAACAAAAGAACACAAGTTGCTTTGTATTGCTATATTAATTTAGTTTCCAAAAAGATAAACTTCTTAAATTATAACATATTAATCAAAAAGTGAGGTTAAATGCAATCACACCTGATATCTTGATATGGGATAAAATCTTTATCCACAAAGGTTTCATTAATTGTCTTCAATACATCCATGCCTTCAGTCACTTCTCCAAATACCGTATGCACACCATCCAGATAATCCAGGTTTTCTCCTGTTGTAATAAGAAACTACAAAAGAAGATACAAAATCATCCACAGTCATTTTTTTTTCCTGAAATTTTTCTTTCCCCACAAAGAAGCTATGGTAAATCTAGTGGGAACTGCATTTATTGTCATATGCCTACATGCTAGCAAACTGCTTACAAAAGCAAACTTAACTATAAATACAAATGCCATTGTTTCTTCCTAAAAGACTATATAACATTTTTTTTATTTTTTATTTTATTTTTTTAACTTACAATGTATAGAAGCAGGAAAATTAATTCCATAGCTAACAACAAGCTCTAGGTGGAATAGAACTGTAGGGCTTTTTTTAAGTTGCTCTTTGATTATGTTAAAAAATAATAATAATTTTTCAATTCAAACGTATGAATGTTTCATGTGAGGCATTTTAACCCATAAAAGTGACAATGCATCCATAATAATTATTCAGAAATAGTATCATTACTATTTCTATTATCTCTATACATATCACCATTACCATATGAGATAGGGCTTTAAACACATCTACAGCAAAAGCTTTGCACAGATGAACTGGAAATGACACCACTTTCAAAAAAAAAAAAACTGTTTTATAATAATTTTGGCAAGCATGCTAAAGCTTGCATTAATACAATATAATCATACAACAAATTTTGAATTCAGTTTCCAAATTAAGATGGAACATTTAACTACAGGTTTTTTTCCTGCCCACTCTATAGATCAGCTAAATCATACAACGTTATTAACAAAAGTAAATAAAAAGAAGGGGAAAAAAATAGAGAATTAAATTCTAACAACATTTATCAAATCTTTCTGGGACAGGATTTGAAGCTGAGCATTTCAACCTCTTCTCAGTAATCAAATAACTACTGGCACCTGGAACACAATGAAAAATACTCAGCTATAGCTCTTTTTGCACAGGCCTTTTGACCACATTATGCCCCCTCCTGGAGGCATACAAGACAAGCTGGATGGGGCTGCAAGTAACCTCATCTAGAGGGACATATCTGCCTATCGCAGGGGGCTGGAACTAAGTGATCTCAAAGGACTCTTCCAACCCAAACTACTCCATCATTCTGTGATTCTATGATAAAACGATGCTGCTGAGATCACAACACTGTTGTCAATGTTGCAAATTCAAGGAATTTTCATTTTCCTTATTTAGATGTGTACCAAGACTTACTCCCAACCCTGCAGGCTGACCTGTGATCCATGCATATCGCTGCCGTTGTTCACCATTGACACTGTTCCTTTTTTCTTGTGCTTAATTCTTGGCACTTTTTCTGCCTCAAAAAATCTAGCTTGATCACCATACAGCTTACTGAAAATATAAAACAAACATATTATGAGGAGAATGAATTTCTAAATAAACAAACGTTAAACAAATGTTGTAAAACAGATTTTTTTTTTTTTTTTTAATTGGCATTTGCTCTAGGGGAGATTTAGGTTGGACATGAGGAAATACTTCTTCTCCAAGAGAGTGGTCAGGCACTGGTACAGGCAGAGAGGTGGTGGAGTCACCATCCCTGGAGCTGTTCAAGAAATGTTTAGATGTTGTACTGGCATGGTTTACTGGGGAAACATTGGTAAAAGGTAGACAGGATGGAGGTCATTTCCAACCTTGATGATTCTATTAATAAAACCAGAATTTACATTGTATCTGTGCAGAGTTTTTAAGGACATATAAGTACACCTATATAATCTACTACATATTACAAAAAACAGATTTTTTTTTTCTGAAGCCTTTCACAGAGGTTTTCCGGAGGCTTGCTTATATGGTTCTAATGCAGCATATAACATTTTTCTAGGGCAAGAAGGGAATGCATATTTTGATAAGAAGTTTCCATCAAAATAAATTAAGCCTACACTGTAAAACCATAATATTTTATGCTTCATATTTCTCTTCCATGACAAACAGAAAGCCAGTAAATCTGCCTGTACGCCCAGTTCACCATACACACAGAACCATACAGAGTACCTTAACATATACAGGATACAGCAAATCATTAAAATGTTTTCCATTTTTGAAGTCTATTCTTGATTTTTACCTCTCTCCATAATTGACGGAGAGGTGATCAATATACGCATTTGTCCAAATTTAAGGAATAATATTGCATTTGAACTTATTTTGCTAAACAGCTGTAAGTCTTTATGAAGAGAATATACAAATTAAAGTTTCCCTGCAACAGTTTCCAGGGTAGCAAGAACAGAAATGTCAGTTCTGTGGACTTCAATAGGAGGGAACACTGTCGGTCTCCATTCTAGCAGCAGGGCAGTATCCACCATTCCCTCAACACAGTCCTTCCTCACCTGCTGCACTAATGGGCCAATACCATCCTTATAAAAGAACAATATCAAAACAAACTTAATCTACCCACAAGCAGAGCTTGTGCCTAGTAAGCATATGCACCCAGACTTGCATCTGCTTAGCATAATTAAACTGCTTTCAAGATCATGACAGATTTACATGTTCAAAGTTTTCTATTTAAAGGCTCTGACAGGTCAAACTTAGAGAAGTCAACACTGGTCTAGCAACACTAACTCTGTTCAAACTGAGCTATTTATCTCAGTATACTGTGTTCTCCACCAACTCAGGTTTCCAGTTTTACTCTGCAATTTTCATTCTATTTTTAACAGCAATTTCAAATGAATCCTCCAAAATCCTAAAGAAATCCTTGGCAACTCTGCCGACAGCAGAGGATTGGAGCTCAATGATCTTTGATATCCCTATCAACCTAAGATACTCTATGATTCTACAGTGAAACATACAGAATATACATATTTTGCCAAGTTTCACCATAGCTATATGAATTTCTTCAGCCTTTACATTCATGAGTACTAACATTTTTAACAAGGAAACTAAATTCCCAGTACACATTCAGCATGATTAAAATGAACTCAGGTAAATTTTCAGGACAGCAGGATTGCTTAGAGTGTAAGAATGCACAGGGGAAATGAAGCACAGCCTGTGTTCTCCTCCTGCCCAGCTAAATACATTTTGTTACCAAAAAAAAAAAAAAAGTAGAAACAAACTGCTAATGATTGTGTCCTCCGCAGAGCATCTAGTTATGGTTCTCATCTTACAAAACCAAACCTAGTTATCTGCTCACTCAGAAATGAATAGAAATTTATATACAGCATGTTATAACTTCATTTCTAAGGTCAAAGATAGAATGCTGTCCAGAAAACATTTCTGAATGGTTAAAATCAGTGTAAAAACTAAAGCAGTATTCAGCTATAATAGCCAAAGCCAAAGAAGCTTACGCATCAACAAGTTTACTTTGAAACAACAGTTCTGCCCCCAAAGAGCTGAAAACAATCAAAGTGCAACCTTTTGCTCCCATACTATCTCTCTGTTGATTAAACACCAGACATTTTACTTACCAAAATACAGATTCACCTCCACGTCCAGTTCCCATGGGGTCACCCGTCTGTATGATAAAGTCTCTCTGTCACAAAGAAAAATACATAAGATGCTGTCATGTCTGTGAATTTAGACAAACAAACAAAATACCACACCAAAAACTGAGAATACTCACCTGCACATTATAAATAAGACAGTAGTTGTAGTACTTGATTTTGCAGAGCTTCAGAAAATTCAGGCAAGCTGCAAGAAAGGATACTCATATTTAGTAAAGAAAACCCTGGGTCTAATAAGAATAGATTTATGACTCAGTGCATACAAAGCTGCTTTTGGGGCAGGTGTGTGAAGACTTGGCAGCGTAGGGCTTATAAGCACTGTCAGAGATGCTGTAAGGTCCCCTTAATAGAGCTGCACATGCAGGAACGCATTTCCCCTCCGCAGTTCCTTCAGAGCAGCCAGGAAAGAAGGCCACTGCTGCTTTTCAGTGCCAAACACTGTCACTCATCGATATTTTCAGTGTGTATTACACGTATAAACACACTGCTACACACACAAACAAGCTTTCCAGCAGCAGTCGGTGTATGTAAATACTTCAGAGACCCACGGGTACCACAGAACCTCTGACCCTCCTATGGACCCGGTTCCAGCACGGAGCTGGGCGCACTAGAGGAGGCCAGCAGGCCTCGGCCCCTTCCCCACAGGGGATGCCGCCAGCCGAAGGGCGGCTACAACCCGGGCAGCGCCGCGGGCGCCAAATGGCGGCGCCGCGGAGCGCCCAGCACGGCGCTGCCCCACGCCCCGTCCCGGCCCCGCGGCCCGCCTCGCCGCCACCCAACGCTCGCCGTCCCCCCGGTCCGGCCCGCCGCGCCCCTACCGCGGGGCCGCTCCTCCGTGTAGAGGTCGATCACCAGATCGCCCAGCGTGGTTTCCAGCAGCACAGCCATGGCCGCCTCCCGCTCCGCCAGCCCGGCCCGATCCGGCCCTGCCCGCCGCGGGGACGCCCCCTGCCGGCGCGGAGGAGGTCCCGCTCCCCGGGCTCCTCAGGGCGCCTGGGGTCGGCGGCGGGCTGGGTCCCGTGCCGGCGGTACTGCGCTACTGTGCGAGCCTTGGAGCCGTCGCCGGCTTATTCCCAGCCTGCGCACCGAGCGTGCGTTGATGGAAGGCTGTTTCTGAGCCACCCTGTAGGGCACTTAGTGACAGAAGGAAGCACGACCGCACAACGCATTTATTACTCTGAAGCCGTAAGCGCATCCGCCTTGTGCAGGTCCGTGCTGGCTGAGGTGTAACTATTTACCTGCTGCTTTCAGAGCTCTCGCTTTGCCCTTCAGTAAGAAAGCACCCGCAGCTGTGCCACGGGAGGCTTGGGCTGGTCGTTAGGAAAAACTTCATCAGCATGTGGGTGGTCAAAGCCCACAACAGGCTTCCCGGAGAGGTGGATGGTGTCCCACAGATGTCAGCAGTCAGGAGGCGTTTGGACAGTGCCCTCAGTAACATGCTTTAACTTCTGCTCAGCACTGAGGTGGTCAGACAGCTGGAAAAGACACCTCTGAGGGTCCCATCCAGCTGAGCTTCTGAAATAATTAAGAGGAAAAATAAATAATGGCAAAAATTATTTAGTCATTGATAGGAGTTTTATCATTTACACTAAATATTTACACTGTTACGACATCCTGTGCGCTGTGAGACTGATGAAAGCCTGGGAAAACTGGGGAAGTGACATTTGTTGAAACCATTTTTACTGCATATTTTTTGCAGAGTTAACTACACTCCAGGAGAATGAAAAGAGGAAAAGAAATAATGAGAGAATCATAGAAACACAAGGTTGGAAAGGACCTACAAGATCATCTAATCCAATCATCCTCCCATTACCACTGCTACCACAAGCACTAAACCAGATCTCTCAGCTCCTCATCCAGACGCCTCTTGAACACTGCCAGGGACGGTGACTCCACCACCTCCCTGGGCTGCCATTCCAGTGCCTGACCACTTTCTGAGAGAAGAAGTTCTTCCTTATGTCTAATCTAAATCTCTTATGGCACAACTTGTCACCATTTCCTTGGGTCCTGTTTGTAGCCTGGGAGAAGAGGTCAAATCCCCCCTCATCACAACCTTCCTTCAGGAAGTTGTAGAGAGCAATAAGATCTCCTCTGAGCCTCCTCTTCTCCGGACTAAACAATCCCAGCTCCCTCAGCCGCCCCTCGTAAGACTTGTGCTGCAAACCCCTCACCAGTTCCACTGCCCTTCTCTGAACACGCTCCAGGGCCTCAGTGTCTTTTTGCAGTGAGGGGCCCAAAACTGAATACAACACTCGAGGTGCGACCTCACCAGTGCTGAGTACAGGAGGATGATTACCTTCCTGCTCCTGCTGGCCACACTATTTCTAATGCAGGCCAGGAGAGGACAAAAGAGAAGAAGGTGCGAAAGATTAGGAGAAAGGGGAACGAATTAAAGGGGAAGTGGAAAGAAACCACAGGAAGGACACATTCAATGACATTCAAAAAGCAGCAAGTGTTCTGTTCCATCCCAATGAGCTCCTGAGTTCCTTGAGGTGAGCTGATAAAACAGCCCAAGCTTTGCTGAAGTGTTCTGCAGGTCAGGGAGCCTTGAGTCCTTGTATTTGTATATGCTAAGATATTATTATGTATCTTGTACATGTTGTAAGCATTTTAATAATCACCTCCATACACAGAACATGGTAGTGCCGTAGCTTGCTTTTGCACATCTAGGATTCACCAGGCTTGTTGAGATGGAACCCCCATCTGATTTACTAATGGACTGTGACACGTGGTTAGGAACATAGTTGATATACAGGCTTCCTCCCACCAGAGCATGCAAATGGCTGCAAGTACCAACAAGAGCTGGATTCTTGGAGCTGCCCTCCTGTCCCCACAGACTCCTACATCACTCAGTGAAATGTCTGGCTGGGGAGTTGACATGCCATGGGGATTTTTGCCGCATGAGCCTGGACAGAAAACAAATCCTTTGCCTATTTGTTTTAGTAGACCAAACACAATAGATTCAAATGAGCAAACCAAAATCTAGGACAGATCTGAGAGAAACTGGGTGATGTTGAAGAGAGGCTGTGGAAATTATGACATCAGTGCTTCTATTCCTTCATCCAGTGCTGACTTGTGTGTTGCTGAGAGTCAGCTAATCAACTTTGTGTTTTCTAATCTCTGAAACAGTACTAACTGTTGATAATAAATGTACTTCGGAATTAAAAATATCTAAGGTGTTTGTTTAATATGTATTTCTACATCTATGACTCTCTCTTCCCAACTTGTTCCAGATGTTTACAGCAGCGTGTCATAAATGCCAACGGCACATGAAATAACAAGTTTGTGTCTCTTTTATGATTTATGTTCACTGTCAAAAGTGCGAGTCACAGAGCAGTACAAAACCAGGCTGCAGGTTGCTTCACCAGGATAGCTCACGTATCGCCCTTTCTGAGCCGCACTGGGCAGACCTGTTTGTCCCCTTACCATCAGAACGTACTTCGCTAGCAGCTAGATTCTTCCGGCCGCTCAGCTCCCCAGCCCCGTGCAGCCCTCAGAAGACAGCCGGTGCTGCTGCAGCGAGCCCCGCCTCGAGCCGTGCGGGCGGATCGCTATCGGCGCCCTCGGGGTGCAGCCGGAGCGCGTCAGGGGGCACCCGTCATCTCGGGCGCGGAGGCCGAGCTCCTGCCCCTGAGAAACCCGCAGCTATTTCCGAGCAGCGGGAGGGCCCTTCCCGGAGGACCGCCTGCCCCGGGGCCGGGACACAGCAGCGGCCTGCAAGCACCGCAGCCCGGCCCCGCGCCGCCTCCGCCGCCCGGCTCGGCTCCGCCCCGCCGCTTGTTGATGTTTCACTTTGTTTTAATTCCCGGGTCGCAAGATGGAGGCGGCGCTGGGACGGCGCGGGCGGCGGCTGCTGCTGCTGCTACTGCCGTTGACCGCCGCGCTGCAGCTGGGCACGTCCGCCGCGCTGCCGCTGGGACAGGTACCGGAGGGGCGGCGGGGGGGCTCGCCGGGAACCGCCGGTGGAGGTGGAGGAGGAGGAGGAGGAGGCAGCGGGCGGGGCGGCGGGGGCTGCGGGCGCTGCGAGCTCCCGGCGTAGCGCGGGGCGGGCGCAGGTGCGCTGCCTGCAGACGTCGTCCCGCTGTGCGCGGGCGTTTCGGGCTGAGGTGTGCGGGAAGAGGCGCAAAAGGACCGCGTTACGCGTCTGCCACAAACTTGGTTACTGCGTGCCCTCTGCTTCCTGCCTCCCGTCAGTGATTCATCCATAGAGCGTTTGAGAAATATCTGGCATGCTGAGGGGGAAGAACGTTATGGCTGTCCGTACTGCTGGGCACATCCACCTCGTGCTGTGTGTGTGTGTGTGTGTGTGCCTCCATTGCGTTGTGACAGGCTGGTGCAGCACAAATACGTGGTGCATTATGGCCTTGTCTTCTCCCAGTGATGTCTGCGCTTCTCAATCGAACCCACAGCAGGTTCCCAATGCAGCTGCATATTCATAGAATCACAGAATGGCCTGTGTTGAAAAGGACCTCAATGATCATCTAGTTTCAGCCCCCCCTGCTATGTGCAGGTCGCCAACCACCAGAGCAGTCTGCCCAGAGCCACATCCAGCCAGGCCTTGAATGTCTCCAGGGATGGGGCATCCACAACCTCCTTGGGCAACCTGTTCCAGTGCAGGGCATCATGCTGCCTTCTTTCTCCTTCCAGTGCCTGCACTGGGTTCACCCAGCCATTGTACGGTCACTGTCCCATGGGAGGATTTGTCACGGCCCCTTTTCCCTGTGGTACTGGTTGAAACGGTACTTTTGAGGGCCTGGCATGGGCCCTGCACTGGCACATCCTGAACTCGCTTCCTTGTCTCCACTTCCCTTTGCAACCATTGGAAGTGAGATGGGCTTAGGTCTTCAAGATGGGGATCTAGATCTTCAGACATCAGTACTCCCTTTCAGGTGCAGTGAAGTGTGGGAGCACAGACATAGCTCAGTTGATCCTCAAGTATTTTGTTTTGGGTATAGGGCAGGTGCGTTTCAGAGCCCTCATAAAGCCTGACAGTGTGAGCAGGAGCTGGTGGGAGAAGGATCTGGGCAGAATGGGAATTCAGTGCTGTTGGGTTGGCATCAGCAGCCAGGAGCTTAGCAACACACGGCATGTGATCAGAAGGCTCTTTCCTCAGGAGGGTTTGGACTGCAGGCTGGTTGCAGCTTCCCTTTGGCTGCCATGGCTGTTCACTCCAGCATCCTGAAAATATGATGTCAGAGCACTACTGATAGCTTCACGTTTTATCAGTCTTGTGCGTGGCAGTAAGTTTGCCTCCAATAATTTGCCTCCAAGATATTATGGGACCTGTAATGAGGAAAGACCTGAGAATGTTGGAGAACATCTGTGCAATTTTGTTTTCTAAGTTGGTAATGCTTTTGTTCAGCTCTGGAATGTGAACGCCTCCATTGTTGTGCAATGCTTGTCGTTTCTTAAATAAGTTGTTTTGAAATCTGGGCTTTTTTTTTGCTTTTTTTTTTTTTTTTTTTTTTTTTTTTTCAAGAACGTCAGTATGTGTGCTTTAGTTTTGCTTTCTCCTCCTGAAATTTGGACAAGCAAATCTGGATTACAGATTGGGAAGAAAAACAAACAAACAGAGGCAGGGAATGATGCAACAACAGTATAACTGATCTTTGCATCAAAGTAATGTGTTTTTCTAGTGCTAGGTCAAGAATTAGATTTTGTGCCTTAGAGCATTTTTGATGTGCTGTCAGGAACTTGCTGAAAGCACAGTGGGCTGAATGCTCTGATGTTTGTTTACTCCATTTGCCGTTGAAAATTTAGATTTAACTGTTTTCTTTCAAAAAGGCTTACTTGTCTACCAGGCCTTATGTTCATGCAGTTGCGTGACAAATATTTTTCAGACTATTTGTTGGCTGCGAGGAACCTCTATGAAGATAGATTGTTTCATAACAGAAAAAAAGTAATCTTCACTACCTCAGCCACGAGTGCGTGTGCAGTGGGTGTGATGTATTTTAATCAAATAAACTTGTTTATAGTGATATGCTGACATCTTTCTTTTGCAGCTTTATGCCAATTTGTCTATTAACATCTTGGCATATGTTCTGAATTTTATACTTAAAGTATACTGCATCATCTTTCCATGTATATCTGATTAAATTAAAGCAGTGTGATGCAGCTGTGTCCCGATTATGTGAGATGAAGTGTTCAGCTTTAAAATTCTGGATAAAATATTCATAGTATGAGTTGATTTCATAGAGAGAGCAAAGCAACACGCGTAGGGCAGAGGAAAGAGATAAGCAATGTTATTCCATGAACATCACAAAACAAGGAAGGAAGATGTGTGCTTGTTCAGAAAAGTAAATTTAAGCAAAAGAATCACTGTGGTAGATTTATATATTAACAAGATAGTTGAGCTGTAGTTACCCAAGCAAGTACTGAATTTCACTGTCTTATCCTAAATATTATCATGCTGTTTAATAATTTAATGTAAATAATAATTTAATGTAAATAACAATGCCTTGTTTGAGAAGATTTTGTACTGAAGGTTGGTGAGATATGAGGGGCTAACAGTAGTCCTCCGGTGTTGTTGGAGACTGTACCAAGACTGTTTCTTACCTCAGTTGTGCCTGGTGGGCAGCTAAAGCCCTACAGCATAGCTTTGTTTTGAGTCTGATGAAGGAATAAGAATGGAACCTGAGACCCTGTGGAGTCCATGTGAGTGCCAGGACTCAAAAGCAGTGTGAAGTTGGACGGTAGTTTTTGGCTTGTTTGGACACTCCCACAATCCCCATTCAAATTTAGAAACAGTTCCTAGTTGTGGCCATTTCTTACCTGCATGGCAACTTCTGCTCATTTCCCATTTCCATAGTGCACAAAGGATATCCCTGCACAGCTGCTACAGGGGCTGCCTGTCCCCCTGCTACCCATGCAGCTGGCCGTGCTGCCAGGCGCTGTGCCATCTGCTCCTTGCAGCTGCAGGAGCCTTGTTTGGGAGCTTGGGGAGAGGGATGGGACTGGGTGAGCCTTGAAGGCACTTGGGTGCCACTGAGTGCCTCTCAGGACAGGGTAACTGTGTCAGGCATGTGCCAAAGAGGTTCTTTAATAATTCAACAATCAGATCTGGTAGAAGTTTCTGCCTGATTAGACCTACAACTTTGTCTTGGGTGGCATTTTTCATAAAAGGCTGTGGGTGGGTGAAGATGTGTGCAGAACCAGTGTGGAGACTCTTTAAGAAGCAACAAGTATTCCCTTTCAAATGATGTCAGGTGCTTTATGTTCTTTCTGTCACTATTCTCTTGCTAGCACTGTACTGCACTGCCCCAAAGAGCTTTCCTGGGTTCGTTGCAACACATGGTAAAGAAAGGATTAGAACATAATCACTGCCTTCTTATCGCTGTTGATTCAGGTTTACCAAAATTCACTAGTTCACATAAAACCTGCACGTTGCCACACTATTACTGCCCCAGCCTCGCTTTCCTCTAAAAAGAAAAGCATAAATCTGTGGTGGAGGTGCTGTCCTCTTTGCAGGTACTGTGGCCACTACTGCTGTGAGTATCCCTGCTAGAGTGCTAAAACAGCAATGAGAAGTCCTAGGAAAACTCAGGAGATACATCTGCACCCTATAACAGCATTAAGAGTGATTTTCAGTTATACAAACTAGACTTACACTTACGGTTCAGGCTTCTCCAGAAAACAACAGAACAAGATTGAGGATTACTGCCTGTGTTCAGGACTCAGTAGGTTCGTTGCCATTGGATTTTGGGTGCACTGCTTCAGGAAGGACCAGTGGGAAGACAGCCGTGAGGAGCTGATCTCCAAGGAAGAATGAAGTGAGCTGGGAGCATCAATATAAAATCAGGAAAACTGAATTGGAGGGCTGTTATTCTCCCTGGAAAAGTGCTGTCAAGAGTAATGGATGACCTGTTCATAAGCTGCGGCAAGGAAATTTCAGGTTAGGCATCAGGAAAGCTTTTAACATTAAAGAGAGAAAAAGAGAGCACTAGAATAAATAGTTGAGGACAGTGTTCCCTTTTTGGACATCACCAGAAAGCTTTAAGAATTGGTTATATGAACACCTGTCAGGAATGATGTCAATATGGGTTGATTCTTACTCTGAAAAAGGTGGCCTTGAGATGTTTCTGTATCAGTTTGGGAACATTTGGAACAAGAACAGTCGACACCCAGTTATTTGCTCACACCAAAACTTGGAGATCTACTTGCAGTATTTCATAGCAAGTCCGGTACCAAGACTGGTAAGACTGCTTAGGCAAAAAACAAACATACAGGAGGTCAGGAAATATTCAGATACAAGTGAGTCTCACACCTCTCCCAGCTGTCAGCCCTTGTCTCCACTGCTTGTCCGCCTCTTGCTTATGGAGAGGGAAACAAGCTGGCAACAAAGTGGCCGTTCTCCTGCCCGCTTAATGAGCAATAGCTGCTCACTGACTTGGCAGAAATGGGAGGGAAGGAAGATGTGCTGGAGAGGAGAGAGTTGCACTCAGTCAGTTAGTGGCAGAGACAGCAAGCTGTTAGATCAGCTCAGCTGTCTTACTTGTCTGCATGCGACCATCTAATGTAATTTTGACAGCACGGATGTGTTCACCTAAATATTTTAATTTCTTGAGCATGTAATGTGCTGTTCAAGTGCAAGCTCTATTTGTGCAACAGAATTCATGATTGTGCTTTTTGGGTACCAGGTCAACAGAGTTGACAACTTGAAGAAATCATCACGTGCACGTTTCGGTTTGTGCATACAGTGCTCATTTGCTGAGCACATTTATTTTGCCTGAAGCCCTTCATTTTCAAACACAGCATTTGATTAAAATAAGAGATGGGGGACTTTCCCTCTTCCTAGCAGTAGCTGGCTATCTGTTTTATTTTTCTAGTAATCTCTGAGTCACTTTGTAGATGTTGAGAAAAGATTGTAAAATACTTTCTGCGCAGAGGAGCTCAGACTTGGTTTGAAGCTTAAAATTGAAGTGTTACTAAGATTGCCTGGAAGGTCCCACCTCCAGGCCCTTTGAATTCCCAAAAGAGAGAAAATACTAGGAAGTCAGCACACAAAATCTCGATCATCTGTTACGCAGTTAGGGAGTGTAAAATTAGCACAGCTCTGAGGGCTCGATGAAGTGCTAAGAGTTTGGCAAATTTTTTAACTACACAGCATTCTTAAAATATGAGGAACAAAATAAGTGGCTTGAGGAAGCTACAGGATGGCAGAACAGATTACATCCCACAGTTATATGACGGATCTAGTTTAAATGTTGAGTAACAGATTTCCGGTTTTCTAAGTCAATTTGTATGTTATCTGAATAACTGGGATTGGAGCTTTGGAGAAAAGTCAGCATAAATAATCATTTCCTAGGAAGGGCAGGGAAAAAGATTTTTCTTTCTGATCTCGGTGGTCAGAGAATTTTGCTACTGACTTGACAAATGCATCTGAAACATCAAGGACAAGTAATTTCCAACCAAAAGGAAATTACCTTCCTTTAACAAAGATGCTGTACATAGTTAAATAGATAATTAATATAAATCTGTGTTGGATTTTAAACGACACTTCCCCTATGAAGCCAGATTTCTGCTGAATCAGATTGGGTTTTTCAGTTTGTGGTAGCTCTGGCTGCTATGTGTACCCATTGTTTTAAGGAAAATTTTATCTTACAGTTGTACTCCAGAAAGTTTCTGCTCATGAATTGGGATGACATTGTACTGGGTAAAAACATGGCAAAAAAACACAAACATTTGGGCTCCAAGTATTTCCTGCCTAAGAAATCTTTCATTCATTCTTTCATTCATTCTGAATTCTGAAGAGTTCTCCTCTCTTTGGAGATGTGCCTCATTTTTTAGTTGTTCAGTGTGAAACTGTCTCAAACACAGAGCTGAAGATGCTGACCAGTGAAGAGTTTTCCAGAAGAAAGTGAAACATGGATAGAGTAATGTAAGGCTCCCAGAAAGCAAATAGAGAATCTAACATTATTTCTGAGATGACTCAGGAAAGCGGTGTGGCACTCTTTACATGTGGTGATGTCCAAGAGAGGATGGTTTTTGTATATAGGCCTCATCACAGAGCAGTTAGGAGATTTCAGGTCCCATTTGCTAAAGAACCCCTCAGGTTACAAGGATGAAATGAGAGGACAGAATGAAGGAAACAAGAAATCACAGCACCTGAGGTATGAAAGAGGGAAATAAATCCCTGGTGCTTGGAGGAGGCCTCTGTGACATAATTTGGAAATGATAACCAGGGGAGAAAAACAAAACAGGATCACTGCTGGTGCTGATAAAGCCAGATGTTCTTTATCACAACAGGCTGACAGCTTGAAGGCTTAATGGAGCTCTTAACAAACTTGACAGAGATGGAGAATCATATTGTATCATGCACTGTCTGTTCTGTTTCAGCTAATGTGAGTCTTCTGTTCAATTTACATCCATGTGTAACAAGTTCTTCCGATAATTTTGTTTGATTATTATTTTGTCTGCATTTAAAAAATAAGTTACACTTAGAAGGAAGCAGTCACTTCTTTTCTCATCAGTCAATTTTATTAAAAAGTGGAGAAAAAAATGTACCTGGAACAAGGAAGCATATCTCTGTTGCTTCTGTTTGCAAGGCAGAAAGCCTGAGAATGTGCTTTGGGAACTGCATAGGGCCGTTCTGCAGGAGAGCATGTGAAAGTTGCTTATGGCCTGCAGGGCTCTGTGTATTTTCTCACAGAAACATACATCTCTTTTCTTTGTTGTTTTCCAGGAAACAATCAGAGTCAATGTTATGATGTTGAAAAGCAATGGAGAATTTCACAAAGGGCAGGTTTGTCTGGTTTTTCTATTTATTCAGTGAATTAATACATATCGAAAAAAGTCAGCATGTGGATAAGAATGTATTTTGGTCCGACTTCAGTCAGTGTTAACTGTGTTCCTCTGAGAACAGAACTACAGCATAGGGGCAGGACTGCACATTCATTCTGTCTGTCTGTCTTTCAGGTTGTGTTTAATATCACCTATGTTAATGGACAGGTATATCTAAATGATTTTCCTATGAGAAGTGGAGTTGCTCACATAACGTGTCAAACAGTAATATGTGAGTATTCTTTTTTTTTTTCCTGCAGTATTTTCTTTCCCGTCATCTATTAACAAAAGCTTACAATTTCTGCATGTACTCGTACTCTGCAAACTTCAGTGTAGTATAAGCAAATTTACCAAATTAGGGAAGTTTTCCTACTGATGTGCGTGGAAAAAATCTTAGTGCCTTGTACTCAAGTCACATTGATATGCTTGTATCTAAATGGTTGAATCTGAATTCAACACCCTGCCTGTCTTTTCAGAAGAATGTTTTGCAGGACAAGCTAGACAATGTAAACAGAAGGATGCAACTCCACCCTGCTAATAGCCACGTCCCTTGGCTCACTGGCATGCGTCCAAACAGAGGCTCAATAGCAAAAATATGAAGATCTTTTGGGAAGATATTTTTCATTATCTCATTTCTGTCTTTAGTAGACAAAGAAGGTTGTCATGGACAGGATATTAAAGCACCAGTACTGCAGTTTTGCTGTGTTTTGTAGTAGTTGATGTTTTCAAATGATCTTGAAACTGTTGGTTGTTTTTTTCCCACCAATTCAATGCAACACCTTTGTGAAAGATCAGAAAGCACTGTGATTTTTGAGATGCTCAGAGCATACTGTATAATTAATTAAGTGAGGCCAATTGTATTACTTGCTTTAAGCTTCTGTTGTTTTCAGAACAATCTCTTGATGGATCAGGTGCAGTCATTCTGCTGCTTGGTTTCTGAGGTCATCCCCCCTTTACATTCAGTCGTTTACTTAGAAAATACTAATGCTTTTCTAAATGGCTTCTCTGAGCCATGACCTTGTCTCTCGAACCCTTCCTTCTCAAGTATTATCAATTATTAATTTCACATTATTTCTTTTCTGAAGTGGGAGAGCAGTAATTCACTTCTCTATTTCTGGGGTTATATTCCTATTGCTTCTGTGTTTTCTATCCTAGGATAGAAAAGTGTGACGAAATGTCATTTACCTACAAGATAATTGACTCCAGAAAAATAATATGATTTTATTGACTAATTTTGAGAGATGCTAAGCACTCTACTGTAGTGGATCCTATTAATTTCCAAAACCATAGTTGAATAGCTTGCAGTGGCTATAGTTATGGATGAAAATCAGAAACAACGAGAAAAATACTGATTTGACCTGGGAGCCTGGAATTGTCCACTCACATGTTTGGGTCTGGATCCTCAACACAGTAGTTGTAGCTGAGACTGTTACCTGCAAAGTGACAGTTACAGGTTTACTAAATTCTCAACAGCAGATTCAGATAATGTTTGTAAAAGGCTGAAAGGGTATTGAGATACTCATTACTTATGAAGAGAGGGGAAAAATAATCTTGAATATCTGTGTGTTAAATCAAAATTGAGCCAAATGTTCACAGGCTTGAGTATTAGAGACCAAGTCTCCAGAGAAGTACTGTCTTGACATTATTGTTACGTTGTGCCTGGACCTATATCCCCACTTCAAGTTTCCACAAAGTCAGTTTCAGATCAGCGAACATCTTTAGCTCCAGCCTGACACATGAAAGGTTGGGACTGCAGGGAGCTTCATTATCTTGGGATCTTTGGTCTTTTAATATCTGCTTGCTGCTATAATTTAGGAAGTATTCAGCATTAGAAAGTATTATACCCATGGGGAACAATCCCTCTTTCTTTCCTTCTGTTGCAAAGTAAGATACTACTAAATAGTTCCGAAAAGGATTTTTCTATATTTAAAAGTGCTAAATAGCTTTATGAGGAAAAGGGTCACAGGTGGAGTTGTTTGACTGATGGACACAAGTGAAGCATTCCCCCTGGGTGCCTCTTAAGCAAGCTCTGCAGGTGACACACAATGCTGGTAGTTTAGAAACTGGGGCCGCAGAGTCTCAGCTCCTATACTGTGTGATCTATGTGGTGGATAGGCCTCCCTGACTTCCTTTGCTGCCCTCCAGCTCCAGCATGGCCTCAACTTTGTAGATGCCACATCTGTTTGCATCTATGTGCTCCATGGAGAATTCCTTTGTGCCCTGCCTTCTGTTTGGGATGGTTTCTCTTTGAAAACTGTGCCATTATGTCTTAACAGTGGAGAATGGAAGCCTGGATGACATGGTAGAGCAGCAACGCCTGGGAACTGTCAGCGTTCGCATCATGGTTCATGAGTGGCCTTTGGCATCCAGTTCTGATTTGCAGCTGATTGTCATTCAGGAAGAAGTGACAGAAATTGATGGAAGACAGGTAAGGAAAAATAACACTTTGCTTGTTTTGAGTTTAGGAGAGGCAAACAGCTAAAAGAGTTAAAAGGTTTACACGTGTGTGGATGGTGGTCAAGGTACAAAGTATGTAAGCTAATGCTAGCTAGCACAGTGCTGAGGGAGATAAAACCAACCTGGGTCAGCAGAGGTGTTTCATGAGGATAATTTAAGCTTTAACGTTTACATTCTTATGTCAGTAGTTAGCAATTGGATGACTTTCCATTAAGCTTGTTAGAATATCATGAACTTTTACAAAATGCAAGGAAAGTCAAACTCACAAGCAGTATTTCATTTTCAAAGTAATATACAAAATTAATAAAAGGGCATGTGCTCATTCTGAGTCTTGAGATTTTGCCCATTCTTTATTTCAAGATAATAAAACATTTCTACCACACAGCTTGCAGCAGCACCCTCTTAAGTGGGCTTTCTAGGAAACATCATCTGAGGGCTTAGCCTTAGACTGTTTTGTATTCAAGCCATTTAATTCATCTGAATAAAAATCTTGATGTTGAACATAGATTTTTTTTTTTTGAGATGAAGAGCAAAATAAAAAATCCACAGAACTTCTAACTGTATTTGCACACACAGCAGTGAATGTGAGGGGCTACAATTGAGCTGAGATTGAAATGTGTAGAACTGAGTTCTCACAGTCACTTATAAGTTATACTTTTCCAACCAGAGAGGTTATAGTTAGAAGATAAAGCTGTTGTCCTATATTCTGCTGTATTTTTTTAATAGGAGAATAATGACCTAATACCACTATCTTTAATTAATTGCATGCTCATCATGAAGTACTCTGGCACGAAGCATTTCTCTGTGAAAATGTTTCTCTTAATAAAAGTGATGATCCCACTGAGATTTGAAGCTTTTTTAATGAGGTCCTTACCTCACTGTTGGCTAACATACTTTGGTTTGGAATGTTTGTTAGACAACAGTGTTGCAGTAGTTCAGATCTCAAACTAGACATCAAAATGCAAATTGGGTTTGCATAGACACCTGGTAAGAACACATAGAAATCTCATTCTGTTCTCCTAATTGTTCTATTAAGCTTTCAATCTATCTAATTAGGTATCAGCTGACAGTAACAGTCATCTTTTTAGTTGTATTGTTCTGCACACGTTAAAAGCGAAAGGCTGATGGCTGTGGAAGCAAGAGTGAAACCACATCATCCCCTGCATTCCTTTTTGAAGACGTGTCTGTTGACAAACAGTTTTACATCAGACTGTAGTAGGAGAGTTGAATACGTGAACACGTGGTTACTCTGTACTTCATTGTTGTTTGCTCTGAATGATATCACTTGAAAGAAAAATAAGCTAAAGCTAAACAAAACCAGCAATGAATATCTCAGCAGGATTTTTTTGCTTGTAGGGGGAAAAAAAAAAAAAAGCAATGACTGCAAAAGCAGCAGTGTCAGTATCATCTGAGCAATATTTCCATGTGCCCTTTTAATATATATTTGAGTTTTTCATGCTTTAAAGTGCCTCCTTGACATAAGGAGCTCTGTAAGACTTGGTTGAAAGCCCACTGATTGACTACGACATGTTTTTGCAGGGAGAGGGAGACCTGGCCCATTCAGCATACATTCTAATACAGCAGTGGCTGTAGAAGTGTGTTAAGTAAAACTAAGAGTACTGATTCATGTTGCAGCATCTGTCTACATCTTACTGGCTTGGAGTTTACGAGCGTGTATTGGTTTTCTTTGCCAGCCTACTTTGTCTTTACTTTAAAATCAACAATATCAATCTGTTTGCATCTCTTGCAGGTTCAGCAGGAAGAAGTAACAGAAATAGATATCTTAGTGAAGGACCTGAGGGTACTGAGACATTCAAACTATACTGTCCCTCTGAAAGAGAGTATGTTGTATTCCATCCCAAGGGACAACGACGTGCTATTTACGCTTCCCAACCTCTCAGGAAAAGGTCTCTTTCTTAGCTGTTACATAATACTTTTGAGCATAATTTACATACTGATTTACAAGGACAAAATAACATATTGTTATCCCAGTGTTGTTTTGCATGGTTAAACAGTTGTCAGATTAACCATTAAGTTTTTATTTTAAAATATATTTATATCTGAATTCCACTCTTCTACATTCCAGTTACTTCTTTTGTTTTGTTTCCAAATCTGTTCTCCTTTGAATTACTTGGTGCTTGTAAAATCATAGCCCAGACACTTACATAAATTTCTCTTTCAGTGCTGTTTCGGAAATTTCCCTAAAGCTCCCTCTTTTCCTGAGATCAAAAGGGAAATCTGTGAAGGAAATACCTGTCTGGGTCACTTCCAAATCAGAGAAGAGTTATTAAGCTTGAGTAACTTTAAAGATAGTTTAATCTTATTTCAGTTCAGTCAAAAACTCAAGGATTTATTAGGAGATAAATATTTTTATCTAGCTTGTCACTTTTAAAATCTGATGACAGCTGAAATTCGTAGCTAAGGGCTGCATTGTAATACTGCTGCTTCTTATCAAGTGAAAAAAAAATTGTTGGTTTTCTTTGATCTTAATGAAATGCAGCATGTTCTTGCTTCCTAGCTTACGGAGTATAATAATAATAATAATAATAATAATAATAATAAAACAAAACAAAAAAACACCCCTCCAAAACAAGCCTCCCACTACATCCAACTTTTCTTCTTTAGATATTCAAGATCCGCTGCAAACTACCAGTCAGTACCTGATCTGGCAGGTAGAAACCACGGTGGATGAAGAGACATTACCTGGCAAGTTGCCAGAAACACCTCTTAGGATAGAAACTCCATCCTCCTACAAGGTAGGGTCCTGTTGTTTTTCCTTTGTTGTTTTTTTTTTCCCCCCTCCTCTTTTTTCTCCTCTGTTTCCACAGAAATGGGAAGATGACTGGATGACATTCCTAGGAAGACAAATGTAGCAATGTGTTGCTGATAAAGCAGAATGTTACAGTTCAACATAATAGACAAATAGACTTCCTCTCTGTATTTAGTATTGTCTACAGAAACATGTACAAATACAGGGTTACTTCCTTCCTGGATGGTTACAGAAGGAATCAAATAAGAGCACTGTTAGGATTCAGATGGCAGGTTTTCTTTGTGCAGAGGCTGAACAAAACATTATTTAAAGATGGTAAGAAGGTGTGTAGCATTTCTTTGGTTCTCTATTTTTTACTTGAAGAAAGCAATATGGCATATAATAGATTTCTCAAGTGAGAATTGCTATTCCACTTCTTTGTGTGAGGTACTTGACAGTGGCTGAAGTCACGGAAATCCCCACAGCCAACCATTATGAATAAGAGACTGTTACAGGCAAAATCCAGAAATAAAAAATTAAAACTAAGTCAAAACCTTCCTAAATTACACCTTAGCAGTGAGAAATCTTTCTTACTCCTGTCAAAGTTGCATATGAGTGTCTAAATCCTGAGCTGCGATATTTACATTATAACAGACTAAGTATTTATAGCAGTTTTAACTTATTTTTTTAGCTTTAAATTATACTTTTTTTTTTTTCCTGACATAGCTTAGAGGCAGGTACTGGCCACTGGTTGATGAGCCACAAGTTTCACCAGCTGTAAGAAACACAGCAGCAGCTTGAAAAGCTTCAGTTCCAGATGAGTTACGGATAGGCTTTCACAACCTACTTTGTGGTGGAGAGAAATGCTTAAAATACACCGCAGAAATGGTATGCTGCAAGTTATAGATAGGTTAGAGAACGTGCTACCCCTCTCCTGAGTTTCAGTGACCCTTCTCAGCTGTACACAGCAATGAAATCATAGCTACCCTGAATATAGGTCAAGTAGCCCACCCTTCACCTACTCTGTTCAAGTGTCTTTTGTTTTCCCAAGTGGCCTTTCTTTTGAGGATGAGTCACTTCTGCACAAATTAAACCTTCCATAGAAATAGTTCAGTTGAAAGATTCCAACTTTAGAAAAGAAACAAATCTGAGTCACCAATCAATTACATACTGCTTTTACCAATAGCTACAAAACTGCACCTGCTTTGTTTTGCAACCTGATTATTTCTACCTGCTTTTATTGTTGTAGGTGATGTGCCAGTGGGTGGAAGACTTGAGAAAATGGCTCTGCAGATTCTGGTTTAAATCTTTACCCATTTTCTTTAATTTGATGGAAGTCATTGTGGTTGGAGTTATTGGAGCAGCGCTCATTTTAAAAGTCTTAAAGGTGATTTTCCCTTCCTGTGAGCCCAAGTAAGTAACTTGTGATTTTTTCTTTTCTTTTTCTTTTTTTTTCCCTTTGAAGACAAAGCGTTACTGAAAAATCTTTCAAGTCAGAAGCAGCCCCGTTCTTTAGGCAGATGGGACAACAATTTAATAAGAAGGATGCAACAAATTATCATTTCAAGTGACCTTTTGATGGATAGGCAAATCTTTCATTAGAGGTATCTTTAGCTTGGCTGTGATAATACCAAATTTTGATTAGGTCTTTCAAGGGCTACATTTTGAGACACCATTAACATACCTCCAACAGAGGAGGGTAGAAGCTAGAGATAAGCTGTTCCAGCAATTCTACATCTTTCTGTAGCGCTGCAGTCATTACTGTAGTTATGAAAGGCCTCAAATTTGGCTTTGCAAATTAGGATGGAATTTCTTTAAGGAAATACCTATCTAGGCAGCTTGTAAGCTGTAGGGAGTGGTGGAGTCATTCATGGCAAAAGGTTAAAAATAAAACTGATTGACTATGGATGGCTTTATTTGCTTGGCTGGTATCTTACCAGAAACACTAATATTTTTCAGATAAGCAAGTTTTCCAAACAAGTGTGGAAGTATGAAATGGCAACTGCAGCTAAGAAATTAGTACAGATTTAGAGATGGAGTAGGAAAGCATGAACATTTTTAAGGAACCCAAGTCAACTCAGGAAGCCTTCTCTTGGAACCTAATGTTTTTTTTTTTAGGAGGAATGACTGACAGCAAATCCTGCTTCCTCACTTGGAGCAAGCACAGCTGATATTCTCAAATACTGCTGACCAGCTGTGCTTCTGAAAGGCCCTGAGCATGGCTAATTTATGCACACACCCAGGGATAAGAGTTGGCCTTAGTGCTTCTAACAGAGCTAGGAAAATGGAGGGTAAACTGAGAAGGCTGGAAACTGCAGTGACAGAAGATACCATGCTTCCCCCTGACACTTTACAAAGCCTGCTGTCAGAGTAGAGTACTTCTTGGAACTAGCTTGTTAGAGTAGGAAAAGTGAAGAAACAGTTTGTAACAGCTGCTCTCCCACAACCATAAGGAGCTTAATGCTGTGAAGCTTTGAAATAAGCAGAACTAGGTAAAAAAAAAAATCTTACCACCGTAAGCCGTTCAGCAAAGTGTCTGATGATCCATGGCAGAGGTTGGTTCAGAACAGAGGAACCATATTGCAACGACTTCTTGTCCAACTGGAGAACATAGAGCTTGTGTGCGGCTTGTCAAAGCACTCTGAGGAACTGAAAGGCTGCACAACTTTAAACTATGTTGAAATGGAGTCTATTCTGCTGATAGTTCAGACGTACAAACTGAATTGAGGGTTCTCTCTGAAACAAGAGCCACTACATTTTTAAACCAGTTTTTCATAAGATTTTTATTCTACTTTCAAAGAAGAGGTGTTATTAGGATAATACTTGACGTATTAACTTAAATGAAAGTTTAGGGTGCTTCTAAGAATGTGTCTTATTTTTAGAACACAGGATTGTTTTGAGTATTATTTTCTAATGCCAGCTAATTTTACCTTTCAGAAGCATCCTTCTCCTGGATCAAATGAGCTTTGTACCCGTGATTACCATCAGCTTGCCTTCAGATGTTCCAGACAGGAAAAATAATTTAGATGAGAAAACACGTACTTAATATTATATTTACTTCAGAGTTGCTCTTTTTTGTTGTTGTTGTTTGTTTGTTTTTAATGAATTTTTAGTTGACTTGAAATTTGGCACTTGATCTTAATACTTTGTTTCCTACTGAGAAAACTAAGCAAGTTTGATTAATTGGTAAAAGGATAGTCAGGATGAGGCCCAAAGCTGACTTCCTGGTACCTCTTCATAAACATGCGGCCTTTTTCAGAAGCTTCAAAATAAAACAGCTACCATTGGTTTTAACTTCTGTGAAGTCACTTCTCTACAGCTCAGACATGATGCTGGCTGCCTTCACACCTACAAATAAACCAGCTCTCCTAAGTAGCTAGCTGATGAAATTCAGGGTGTCCTGAAGTCTCCAAATACCACTTTTCAGAAAAAGACAAAGGAGTACAACAAACGTTACGTGTGCCTGCAAGCCAAAACAGAGCTGCCCAACCTGGGTTCAGGTCTCTTAGGGTTGAGTGTGCCTTGCAAGGAAAGTATCACTACCAAACATCTGTATTGCTCAAGTAATTTGACATATATGCAAAACAAAATTTAAAAAGGTAGACTTATATTTCAAGCACTTTATACTTTTGTGACCCCCTAATGCTCATAAAAATTGTTAGCACTACTTGTAACTTGGCTCGTTCACAAGGTTCTTTTTGTATTTGTGACAGTGCTTTGTGACATCTCAAAATCAAGGAAAAAAATCTACAATACTGGCTTACTAAGTAGGCCCAGTCTTCCCATGCTGATTTGTACTGTTCATGTTTTTCAAATAAACATTTAAATTGTTTATTAGATTGTGTTGAAGCATATAGTTATTTTGCTACATAAACTAGCAGCTTGCGGTATGTGTTAGATACATGGAGCTATTTGTTTTTTTAGCTTTTCATTGTTCTAGCTTTGTTTTTAAGAATGATGGGGGGGGAAAAAGAATCCAGGCTACCTGGCATTAGACTGAGCAGTCGTCCATTTGGGAGATCAAAATTACCCATGCTTTTTGTTCTAGCACCTTGTGCATTTATACTTCACAGTTCCTTCCCCGAGTTTAGTGTCACCAGAGAGCAGGATCCCAGCTGTTCCCAGATCACCTGTCCCCTCAGCTGGCCATATCGTGGCTGGCGTGGTTCTTCAGGCAGGAGTGGAGCATGAAATGTCCAAGTTCTGCTGATCTGAAACAAGCAGCAGTGATGGACATCACTGGAGTCACAAGCAGTGCTTTTCCAGGACTCTATCCCAAGAGAGCTACCACAATGATACCATGACTGGTTAAGACGTGGAACTTGAGGCATCTGAATTAAGAATGAAATTTGGTGAAAGAAAACGACAGAGGTTGTTGTCATCCACAGCTAATAAGGAAACCACACAGACTCTAGCACAAAGGTGGTGATTGCACAGACAAGAAGTGTTGAAGCAAGTCTCCTACAGACAGACAAAGCCTTCTTTCACGCATGTGGAAATGAATGTCCCTTCACAGAATCACTAAGGTTGGAAAAGACTGCTAAGACCATCCAACCAACTGCCAACCTGTCACCACCACACCCACGAACCATGTCTCTCAGTGCCACATGTACATGTTTCTTGAATACCTCCTGGAATGCCACCTCCCAAGGTAGCCTGTTCCAACCCATCATTACTCTTTCAGAGAAGAAATTTTTCCTAATCCCCAATCCAAACCTCCCTTGGTGCAACTTAAAGCCTCTCAGCCTATCACTGTTACTGACCTTCACCTCACCACAACCTCCTTTCAGGCAGTTATAAAGAGCGATAAGTCTCCCCAAGCCTTCCCTTCTCCAGACTAAACAATCTCAGTTCCTTCAGCAACCCTGCATAAGACTTGTGCTCCAGACCCTACAGTTTTGTTGCCCTTCTCTGGACCTGCTCCAGGGCCTCAATGTCTTTCTTGTAGTGAGGGGCCCAAAACTGAACACAGTACTCGAGGTGCGGCCTCAGCAGTGCCAAGTACTGGTGTAAGGCTGAAATTTAATGAAGAAAAAGTGGGGGAGGGAGCAGACAACATACAAGAGTTTTACCTTACTGCACAAGTATGTTATGAATTGCAATGTGGATGGAAATTGAGCAGCTGTTAGTATGTGCTCTTTGCATCCCTACTTATGAAACTATATACCAAGCACCTGCACTGCAACAAGAAAGTTTAACTCTGTGCTAAACAGCTGCAGCATAAATGAGTGGTTGAGCCTGAAAGCACTGGTACTGCTTCACAAATTAGCCTATTTGCATAGGCCAAATAATCCTCTTATTTCTGTATTGTGGTCTATAAAGTTACAAAGCACAAGGAAAGAAATACTTTCTTTAAATTGACAGCAGTAAGTGGGAAAAGTAGTGTAAGTCTTGAACAGAAACACAGTAGTTATCAAACAACATTGCTATGCTACCGAGCTATCAAGTCTTAAAAACTTTTAGCAGAGGATTTCTGTTTCAGCACATGCAAGGTTTTCCTGATTCAAGAAATCTCATACTTTTCAGAGGAGGGCTAAGTTGAGCTGGGACAAACCTCAGATCCACAAACCATTTTGTAAAACAGTTATAAAGACTCCTTGCCACAGATAACAAGGGAAACTGTCCCGTGTGCCAGTTGCATCTGGTCTCATTTTCTATACATGAGTTGAGAAGGATACATGTGTAATCTGAATGAAAAAAAAAATAATAATGGTAAGTCACTTTGTAAGACTAAGAAAGGCACATCCCTCTCCTGTTCTTATAAACTGTGGCTCTCATGTCATGCTGTCTCAACCTCTGAATGCATCTGTACCTTTAAACACATTGAGCTGAGCATGAGTTGTCCCTTTTCTCCATCCAAGAACTCCACTGGACAGGGGAAGGTATCACGTTCTGCTTTCCAAAACAAAATTAACTTCTGAGTTACGAATTTAGCATCTATTACTTTTTCTCATGTGCCATATATTACATAGGTGTTCATTTTGTTAATGTAAACAGCACTGGTTGAGCTAGAAAAACTAAGCTGCTTTTTAAACAAAGTTTACTTTAGAAGTTCCCAAAATATATTACAGTTTAATTAATTATTACATTTCAGCTTAAGTGGCCCTTTACTGGATTGCTTCCAAGGATTGAAGCTTAAAAATTTCCCTCTTTTAATTCAGATGAGACTGAGTAGTTTGGTTTGCTTGCAATTGAACTGATTTCCAAGAAGAAATCTCCTCCTGCAACACAAGTGATAGCTACATCTTCATTCTCACGTATAAACAGGAATAAGTATTAAGAAAACCTACTCCAAAACACTGCAGCTTTGTCTATATTCTTACCTGAACTTTCTTCCCTTCATTTCTGGGTTCATCATGCCACATTCACCATGGAATTCAACTGTTTTCAAGACCCACATCTCAGTGTCTTACTACAACACCTGATCACTGACACTGCTCAAAGTGCCTTTTAAGAAAAAGAAGTAAATTGTGTCTGTCACTCATGACATAGGAATGAATTAAGTGTATTAACAAGATGTTCATGATAATGGCATTTATAGAATTGTGTACTTGGGATTCATTTGCCTTTCACAAAAATCACCACTTTTCATTATCAGATGTCCATTCATCTGCCTTGCAGCATGTGAGGAAGCATCTGGAGCATAGGAAGTTCCGCACCAATGTGCGCAAGAACTTCTTTACGGTGAGGGTGACGGAGCACTGGAACAGGCTGCCCAGGGAGGTTGTGGAGTCCCCTTCTCTGGAGATATTCAAGACCCGCCTGGACGCCTACCTGTGCAACCTGGTGTAGGGATCCTGCTTTGGCAGGGGGGTTGGACTCGATGATCTCTGGAGGTCCCTTCCAACCCCTACGATTCTGTGATTCTGTGATTCTGTGATTAGAAGAAGTTCCACAGCTGGCATTGTATGATGGGCAGACAGGAGCTGAAACGAGCCTACACATATTGAACTCATGGGATAGCATGAAGTTCAGCTGGAAGCAGAACTGCAGCCATCTGCTCTGAGATGAGCTGGAAGAAAGAAATGTTTCCAAAATAACAGATATTTTAAAGCAGATGGACAGCAACAATAATCACTACTGAGCAAAATCTAAAATTATATCCTAAATGGTCACGGTAGAACCATTTTCATAGATGTGTTTCTACAGTCCACTTTGGCAACCACTGCAAAAAGAAAACACTCAAAAAGAGGTTCAGATTTTAAAACTGTAAAATCAAGATTATAAGCAGAAGTCATCTGAATACAAAGATATCAGGACTGTTCTGGCTTATCAGAACAGTGTTAGCAGAATGAACGTGTAGTGAATGCACCAGTTCTTAAGCTCACAGTATTGTACAGCGAAGGAAGGAAAACATTTCAGAAATAACAAGAAGAAAGCTTTCATTTTCCCTCAGACTTACAAGGAGACTACAGACATGACCACTCTGCTGTGCAGAGTTAGCTTACACTAACTAGATGTATTTTAATACTTACTTAATAGCGGAATTAAGGACTAGTAGCGTTAAGGGCTGCTGTTTTAAATCTCAATCTTTGTACAGGTTCTGTATTTATAGCTTAGGAATCACTTAATTGTCCATCCATAAACCATCCACATAACTGTATTTGTTTATCCTGTTTTCTAGTTTTCAGCATTCATCACTCATTTAGTGGGTTCAGGTTGTTGGTTGTTCTTTTTTGTTTGTTTTCAAGATAGCAGTTGTGGGTTTTATTTTTATTTATTTTTTATTTTTTTTTGCCAAGTGTACTCTGCTGCACAAGTTCTGGTATTAAATTGTACCCATATTTTAAAACCTTGAAGATCAAAACAGATCCCATCAATGGCTTTCACATTTGAGAAAAAAACAGGTAACTTTTGAGCAAGTTCAAAGAAAACTAGAGAGAATTTGCATTTTACAAAAATATTTATTTAGATATCTGTTGCTCTTAAATTACAAAAGTTAAAAAGAGCATGCAGTGCACTGACACACTGATTACTTCTGACGCTGTTTTCAGAGGTAAGATGGCTTCAAGATAAGACAACTCAGCATGATCCAAATTCAACTATCCATTTCTCGTATTTCTCAATGTCCGCAGCAGATACAGACTTAGAAACCTTCTTTAAAGCTATTTCAAAGTCTTCCATCGTTGTTGGCATGTGCATTTCATCTCGAGAAAGATTTCTTATCTCTTCTGGTGTCAAGCCTTCAATGCGCCTCCTCATAGCCATCAACGATGCATCTCTATTAGGTACACGAAGCAGGGAGGAAAAAGAAAGAAAAGAAGTTGTTATCCAGTAAAGGATGATGAGCTCACTTGCTCAAACATTCCAGTTAAGCTGTTGTATGCAAAAAAAGGATATAAATAATTCTAAACTTTTATAGGAAACTCTCTTAATGCTTGGACAGCCTGCAATACTATGCCAACTGTATTTTTCAAACACTGATTTATCACTGTTTCTTCCAATCGCTGTTATACTAAATACACAGGCTGAGCAGAAGAGGTGAAGATTAACTGATTTACCTAAGGCCACTCCGTGCCTACGATGCAGCTGCTGCATACAGCATTTTTAAACAGGAACGAGGTGAAAGAATGCTTCACTACTACCGTGTACAGAAGAGATGGCAAGTTTTGAATGGTCCAAATAGGTCTGCTTCTAACGAAGAGAGGTCTACGGTATCTGACTCCAGCCTATACTTTCAAAACAAAACATTAATCTACAAAACCTGTTCAGTCTTTGTCTCCTCTAACTTCTGGCCTCAATCAGC